AAGACGTACTGTGAAATCAATAGATGTGTCAAGAAGTGTTTGTTCTAACCTGGCTAGCAGTTGCGAGTTATACACAGAACACCATCCTTACTCGTGAGCTAGTGCATATGCATAACCGAGCGCCTTTTACAAGGCATGTCTAGTAAAACCAGTGAGTTCAGCATCAGTGTCCACACCTTACTCACCACTACAATCCTCATGAGCAATATTACCAGACAGACTAAAGAGGGATATCCTCTGGAGGATTTAGTCATTTGTCCACTTTGATAAACCAGTAATCTCTCAACCAGAGTAGATTTTTGACTTCTACCTTTTAAATGTCTTTGTTCCTTTTTGGAAAGTTTTTTTTTTTGAGTGCGGTTATCAGGTAGACCAGTTATGAAGGGGTGTAATGATTTTAAGGAATACTTTGTCCTAGGGAGTTCGAGATTAGAAATCCAACAATCTCTGATGCAAGGTTAGAAAAATTCCAATTCAACCTGTTGGCTTGTTTGTTTGGCAACAGTCAGGACAGTGAGTTACGTTCTTTGACAAGTTAAATCAGACGAAGTTTCTAATATCGGTCTATACAGCCCATTCAAAACATATTATCGTGTCTATGATGGTTGCATAGCATTAGAAACACCAATAATTGTTAGCTGACGATGTGAATCTATATAGATTATAAAACGGCACTTTAGATTTTATTGATACAGTTGAAGAGTGTTTTCTTTTGTTTAAAGTAGTGGGTCGGTGCTTTACAAACGTGGTGCTCCCCTCGTGGCTAAGGCTTACAGCAGCTCACGTTTATAATTATGTCCAAAAGCGAGTTAGCATGTGTTTACGCTGCCTTGATGTTGGCTGACGATGATATCGACGTTACAGGTAATTGAAATAAAGTTGGTATCTTTTACCTTTCGAATATTTCATACTATTAGCGTAGTTTATATTGTTTACTAGTGTAGTGACTTGAATGCTCTGTAGTCAGTGTCACAATATAATGCATATTTTGTGTAAAGAGTAGTGTTATTTTCGAGCTAATATAGTAATTCTGTATTTTCAGCTGACAAAATAAATACCATCCTGAAGGCTGCTAACATCAAGTTTGTTGAATCGTATCTTCCCAATCTTTTTGCAACGGCTCTAAACGGGAAGAATGTCAAAGATCTGCTGATGTCATTGGGATCTGCTGCACCTGCAGCTGCTGCCGCCCCGACGTCGGCCCCAGCGGCAGTAGCCAACGGTGGTGCCGAAAAGGGAAAAGAACCTGCAAAAGAAGAAAAGAAACCAGTTTCAGATGACGATTCCGATGAATCGATGGGCTTTGACTTGTTCGGTTGATTTCATCTTATGTACAGAATATATTGGATACACGCATGACTATTGTAGTTCTCAATGTTTTTCACTGAGGGCTACGTAACATCTCTCTTTTTCTGAGTAATATTTTAACCACTAATCGACGTTAGTTCATGTCTTTATCTTTGTCTCATGCGATCAAAGGATTGTGGTGGTATTGCGTTTCGAATAACCCTACTGAAATTCGTAGTCGAAGTTCACAACAGTAGTTTTAATCAACCCAACGGTAGATCAGACATGCTTCGTTAAACATTTTTATCAACGGTAAGTAAGCTAGTCTGCTAATTTGTTGCGTGTTCTGTCACGCTACCCATAGTTGTTCTGTCCATATAAAACTTAGCGCATCTATTTGCTAATGATTGGATTGTACATAATTCATACTCTAGTATGTTTGAAAAAGCCATCAGATATGTAAGTGAATGTGATCTTCGCCTCTTGGTTATTAGCGAAATGTTTTCGGAACGTTTACTGATTAGTTGGAAATCTGTGGTACAGGAAAGTACAATGCACTCCAGAGTATTCTAATTTTGAGTGTTTACATTGCCTAGTAACTAAAAATTCCATAGTCAGTTGTCTTACACTAAGTGGCATGACACTACCTATCCTTATGAAATTGCAATTGACTGAGTTCTCAATCCGGTCTTAATATTCTAATAGAACGTGAATATTTATATTCATGAGTATCAGAGGAAAGCCTGGTGACGATCTGCTTGGAATCAGTTCGTTTACATGTGTTCTGATTTTCACAATGGGAATCCTAAATGTTCTAATAGCTTCGTAGTGTTTGTTGCATGTGTTCCGCATTGGTCGGAGAGCTAAAAGTTGTTTTCCAAAAGCAGTAGGTTCGCATTTGTTTTTAAGACTATGTAACAAAGTCTGACACATTTTTTATTAACGTTAGCCGAATCTGGCACATTGGTACGCCATCTCAAGTTGCCATAGTCCGAAACGATAAGATTGCTAAAACGAACCCTAGAATAGGAGTAGTGGCTGTGTCATGTTGATGGAGAGGATGAGGGATACATTCCGAAGAGGTATGATATGTGCGGTAGCCAGATTATAAGCCATCGTGAACAGCTTGAGCTGTCATCTAAGGTTTATAACTGTTGGGTATAGCGATCACGAGAACACCAGCCGGGTACTCTGCGTTCGCTTATATGGCCTAGTCCGTAATATCACGGACTGACACCGTCCTTTCCGACAACCCTTGGCTTTCATACAGTCTCTACACCTGAGCCAGACATCGCAAATCGAGATAGTCGGTGGATGGGCATAGTTACTGTTTCCTTAACATCTCTGTCGATAAGTCAGTGACCTATCAGCCATCAGTTAGCGGTGGAAGGTCCGACTCATATTCGTGTTGTAAAACGGACATGTTTACACAGTTTGGTTCTACTTTATGCATGGTCTACTAGTTATTCTCAATGTTTGTACTACGTTCCATTGGTTTTCAAACTTAAAACTAGCTCTGACCAAATTTATTGCTGGTTGAGCCTATTATCATGTATGTATTAATACTGAATCTCTCTTTGGTTTGCTCCGAGATGATGCTCATAAACCTAGGAGAAACTCGTGCAGGTTATCTTGTCCATCGAATTTGTAGTCGTAAAGTAGAAGTCTGGTAGGTGTGTTTGTCACGATTAGCAGCGGCGAATTACTTAAGTGCTAAAAACAAACTATAATTCTTTACAGCCGTATAAGAGTTATAGGCTACACACTTTTTATATCAGGTTGGCTGCCCGCTAGTAAACGTTTCCACGTAGGCAATGTAGAAGTCTCAGTAATTGAGATCTAAAGGCGGGTAGACGACAAAGTGGGGCGTTTAGTTTATGTGGCATCTGAAAATCTGGATCGACACGGAATGTTGGCTGGAGCAAAGAAGATTTATTCACTTGGACGGTACGTATCTATAGGAGGTAGTACTTCGGTGTATGGGTACATCATAGTAACAAACCGACGAGATAAGTATACTAAGACTGGATAAAAGTGCCGGTACATACGATATGGAGGCGAATGTTTGGACAAGAAACAATTTGCGTTACTCATTTAGAACTTGCTGCCTAGTAATATCTATTGTGGCCCAAACTTGTATCATTCGAAGTTACGAATATTTAGCAACAACCATCTTTGACATAGCTTACATGATGTAACCAAAATGTAATGGTAAAAGCATTCCATATACTAGTTTCTGGATCCCTCCTATTGAAGAATGAGATCTCCGGGCGTAATGACCAAGTAACTGGGTTTTGGTGAGTACAAAAACACCTGCCATTTCCCAACCTACAAAATCTCTGGCAGACAGTAGACATACTTCTGCTGCGTAGAAGTCAAATCCTTATTGCTCTGCAGCTTCAAAACAGTCTATAAAAGTAGAGAACATTTGTAGTTGGCAAGAATCTAATTTTAGGCAAATTTAAGGACCATTCGCGTATGATGAAACTTGTAACTGATTCATATTGAGGTTAAGCTTAAGGACAGGAGTAAGATGGAAGATGAAGTCAATCAGTTAAGGTCAATGGAGAGATTGGTACAAAAATGTGTTAGCCCAAGTTGCCACACTACATTAACTCTACAAGATGAACAATGTACTAGCTATTATCATGAAGACCAAACATTGAGAATCGAGTTAAAAAAGAACGGATGAAAGGTATGTATGAAGGCATATTAAGACTCTGGATCTGTGCAGTTGTGACCGATTCCGAGCCATATCAAAGATGTAGCATAATTTTATTAAAGCCAATAATTTTTGGACTGTACCGTATCGATAAATCCAGACTTCTTGGTTCACAGACACGGAATAGTGATTTATGGCTGAAGATATTGGATCTTATTGTAGCAGTTACATTTATTCACTGCTCATCTATAAACAATCAATTAGAGTACTTTTCATTCTTAGATCTCATTTGTCTCCTGAGCTACATTTCTTATTTTTACCTTTCTACTAAATTTGGATACATTTATCTTACTTTGCTTATCAACTAATGAATTTTCTGTCCATCTGATATTATAATATGCATCGAATTGTATCAGTGCACATTTATTTCTAGCCCTACGTTGACTATGGTCAACTAGTTTCACTTCGAATGTTATGATTTCACTCCAATCAACACAAAAAAATATTTAGCTATTTATAGTAAATTAACTTTGTCATTTTCAAAATTCAATAAAAAAAGCAAAATATTAGCACCAATATTGTTTGCTCAAGTTATATCATGTACGGAATCACAGAAAGCGAATATTCCTTTCCAAACATGTACACATTTTCCTATCAGTAAGTAATGGTATATCACAGTCAGAAAAAGGAATAACACAATTTGAGGGCGAAAACAAGAATTAGGAGAGAAATGTGATATTTGGATGCATTAACAACTTTACAGATAGTAAGAAATTAAAGGAAGCGAAATAGAAGACACAATAGAATAGGATTACAGATCGAGAGACCGAGCAGAGTAATTCCAATGGAAATCAGCAGTGAGAATTTGTGTAGTTGACACGAATAATGAGACACCAAAAGTGAGGAAAATAAAATCGACAAACAAGACGAAATGCATTAAGGCTGTTAAATATGCCAACTATCGACTGACCTGTAGGAATATATGATAGATTATTTATTTAAATCAGTTTGGGGTAAAAAAAGCAGTTAGGTACTAACATCTATTCATCCAATCAAACGATACAAAAACAGAGAAAACTAATCTTTGGAAAAATATGATAGAAATGATTATCGACATGTTCGAGAACTCCAGCTACGCGCTTTTCGCATTTCCAGAGAAATATTGTTCTGATTATCAGTAAAATTTTGTGTACCTAATGAAATAAATGACTTTTCAATTAAAGGATTTTGTGTATTCATTATTTCATCTTCAGATTCATTGTCACCGTCATTATTGTAGGTATCGAGTAAATTTTGATTATCCACTGCTTCAATATTAGTGTGTATTGGTGAAATACGATGACGAGTAAGTACAGTGCGTAAATTATCACGTAATGATAATACTTTATCGGTCAAACTATGCAGTCCTGATGAAAGTTGGCTATCACGTCTTTGTCCGGATTTAATCTAAAAATGAAGTGTATATGTAGTGTTAGCATACAATATCACATAAGATATAATCTTCAAAAGTTGTACTATTATCAGAATTGAAACACATGTTATATAAACTAAGATTTGATGCTATTTGTGTGTACAACACGTAAAAATGGCAACATCCAGTTGTTCACTTAAAGAACTCAGAACAATAATGGAAACTACAATATAAAATCAAAACACACATATTGATGATCACTATTAGGTAATTTACACAATAGAAACAGTGTTTATTTCACTAATGTAGTCCATAATGACAGTTTTTAAAACAAAAATTTTTTGTTAATCTAGAAGATATTGATAATTCGTTCAACTGTGGGAAATTTCGACGAAGATTAAAAATCTGATGAAACTAAGAGTTATAACCTTTTAATCAAAGTTTATTTCAAATAAGAAATTAATAAAAATGTGTTTTATATTTATTAACATGTAATACGATAATGAATAAAACAAATGATGAAATTTCTGAAAATCTTAGGGGCAAGAAACAAAATATAAACAAACAAAGTGTTCATCTACGACTGATCATAAATGACCCAATATATATCAATCATCTTTTAGATGTTTATACTTGATTTTATCAGAAGTTTTGCACTCTTTCATGTCAACTATTTAAGATACAGTATGCATAATAAAAGATTGAACAGTGGTTTTGTTAAATAACCAGTGATTTAGGAGATGAACATTGATAAAAAGTTTCAAAACTCCATAAAAGTTTAGTCTAGAATAACTGAAAACAGCACACAGATCAGCAATGACGAAAATTTTGTACTTCTGTTGACCATCGAAGGAAAATTAAGTAAACAGATGATTGGATACATGAAACAATTTTATGACGAAGCGTAAGGTATGAGACAATTACGTACTCTAAGTTTGAAGGCTTAAACTTAAAAATGAACAGTTGACATTCTAAAATGAACGACAGTTAGAAGACTGCTTTTGACTTTTCTCACCATCATCTATAAGTATTTTCGATTTTATACATCATAACATAGTAATCTTAAGTGTTAAACACAATATCGAAAAAATTTAAATCATCAGTATACATGAATCGAAAATTGAAGATTACGGGGCGATAGATGGATATAGTACCCATATAAGTGCATCACATGTGATTTTACAAAAAGTTCTTGTTTAGTTTGTACCTTGAGAAAGTTCCATCATGTTTAATTCTTTGATAGAGCAAAACAATATCAACTCATTATTTACAGAATGGATTTAGGAATAGAGGAAATTCTTACGAATATCTCTCAACATCTAACATGAGGATTTTGTATGATTATTAATAATGAGATAGTCGATTATTCTGACAGTGGTTTAGGGAAAAACTGTATGGATTTGTATTTAATGAGTTTTGCAATTATTTTTAAAGGCTAGTAATGGAGTCTTTCACATGAGTTTGGTCCTATTTAGGACTTATCAGCTGGACGTATTTGCACTGCAGTGTTGATGTTCATATCGGGACTCGAACATAGTACTTGACATTGACGATGAAGTTCAAATTTTAACTGCATAACATAAAGTAAAAACTGAGTTATAGGATATCAATGGACAACTGAAACTGTAATTGCATTACGATGGAGACTGATAAACCGTTTTTAACTGCTTCATCTATTGCTTCCGTTACTACCTCTGAAGATGACTAAAACTCTGTCTTTTTACAAAGATAATTTCAGCAAATGTTAATCCTGTATGATAGGTTGAAACACTAATATTGAGATTTTCCTGAATCGATTTCGCGCATACACTCGTTGTCTTCTGAATTCTAAAATTATTTTATACACTTTATTCTGAACATTTATTCTTTCCAAACTACCTTTTCTATATCTAAAACTGTTAGTTTTTATTGATACTACTAGTGTGGTGCGTGCTACTCATATTGATGTAAGTAGTATATGACGCAAGTTAAAAACGTAATGTCTGGCAGCAGAAGATGAAAGAGGATCAAGAAAGGAAGGGCGAGAACTCTATGCAATTTGTATGAAAACGCATGAGCAATGGAATGGGAGACAATGGATTGATGTTTGCAACAGGAACAGTCCAGTTTGATATGATGGATTGATATTTGTTAATTGACGATTTACTATATGGTTTTCAGATTTTATTGAGATAGTCTGTAATTTCTGTGCAAAGGATAATTCGATTGTCCCCACCCGTGTTCTGTTCACTACACTAGTACTACTGCTTCCACTACTTTGGTACTTATCTTGAGAATTGCATCTTGCCATTATATGGTACAACACTGGATGTATATGTGTGTCACGTCCTATGTCGCTTATGACTAACAGGATTATTGGTAAAACATTACAGTTACATGGATGCTGTAGTTCTAGTGCTTTGATTTTAAAAAATTAGATTACAAGTTTGAAACTTTGATGGTTGGCTAATGAAGGCAAACAGTGGTTGGCCAATGAGCGTGGGAAAAAACAGACATTCAGCCTATTAACAGTGGTTTCCTATCCTGTTGTTGATTTTTACTTTCGATTCACTCAGTGTAAACTGTTTGTTATTATGTGAAATAAAGTATTGTTTAGTCTACTCTGGTTCTCAATTCTCGGTAGTGAATCACGTATCGTCCCCAAATGCCCGGATACAGCCGAGGACGAGGATAGTCAGCTCTCCCTCTCGAAATGTTATCACATGGCCACGTGTATACAGCCACTGTCAGGGAAGTCCTGCTTACTGCCTCCTCGTGACAGGGGTGTTTTTTTAAAGAATTGAGAGGACGAAAATAGAATGTACGGTGCTTTAACTATGTTGGTGGATATGGAAGGTCCATCTAGGGGAGTTGGAAAACCTTGATTCCAAACCAATGGTGCACATGGGCTCCAGAATCCTGAAGGAACAAACGGCGTATGAGCCAATCGTTGTTCACCGGCTGCCATGGGACTGGATCTCTTTACGTCGCTCCACTACCTTGTGGATAAGACCTCTAGGTCAAACGCTCGGGGTGTAGCTACTTAAGAAAACCACCTACCTCTATTTGAGTCCTTGGGCAGTATCACAGCCTCCACACAAATCAGTGATAACTGCTACTGGTCTCATTGCTATTGTGTAGCGCATATGTATTTGGTGCCACCTTGTACCAATGTTTATGTGTTCAAATAAATAAATAAAATCATGTATCTGGTATAACGTGATCTAGTCTGTGCGTAACCCATCAATCGAGAATTCAGCTTGATGGTAGTCTAATTTCGGTCCTCCAGATCTATTATTGTATTATAGTAGTATATCGTGGAAGAAGAAAATATTTCCATCCTTCTTTTATATCAAAATTGTGTTGCATAACTCTATTTTACTTTAAAAGTACGGTTAGAAGCCTGATAAAAAATCTGGATCCAAATTTCACTGAAGGCTGTTCGTCATCGATTGTCATCAAAGATTCTAAGTGATTTCGAGTGTGGTCAAAAACATGAGTGCGATTGCTATTTAGCTGTTGGCTCAACCCTGAAAAGATACTTCTTCCTGAGAGGATTAAGAAGGAAAGTAGATTAGGGTTGGTAGTCTTTACAACCTGGAAGCATGCCTACAGAACTCATGGAACAACTGTTCCAGGTCAATTGTACGCGGCGTTTTTGTAAATAGTTTCCCATGTGCTAGCTGTGTACTTCCACATCTTACGGTTGATAGCCGAAATTGATGAGGTAAGGTGATGTGTACCATTTATTGTTAAATACACCAACCTAATAATAATTAAGTAATGACAAAAAATAACAATGAATAATTATTATTACTACCCAATTAAAGTATTACCTTAGCTTCATATGATCGTGAATTAAGGAATTTCACATATTCTGGACAGATAAGAGATGCTGGAGTTGGCTTTTGCCAACGTTTTAAAAGCAATGAAAGAAATATGACAGAAAGAGATGAAGCTGCCATTGCAGCTGATGCAAACCATGGTGTCAATTCGATGCCGAATGGCATTAAACAACCTAAATGAAATAAATAAATAAAACAACGACGAAAGGAAACACTAGATTTAATCAATATTGTGATTTTTGAATAGAGAATAATAATAATAATTTTGATATAAACTTTTGTCAAGATTTGAATAAACAACTTTAGAAAAGAAAGAAGAACTTGTATTCGCGAGAATGTCAACAATTAAAACTAAATGGTAGTTTCAATATTTCATTTAAAAGTTATGTTTAGTTTGAATGTTATTGTTCAGGAAATTTGTATTGTGGCGTACACAAATCAACTGTTTATATATATATATATATATATATATATATATATATATATATATATATATATATATAGTGGTATTTGAAGATGTATGAGTACTATTCTTATAAAATTGTGCAAATATTTCATTCCATCATTCATATTACTTATTATCAATATAAAAGTAGGTAAACAATTATTAGATATAATTAATATTGAAAATGACGTAACCGTCGAAACCTTTAATGTCTAGTCATTTATTTACAATAACGTATTTTTTTTGTTTGTGCGGAGGTCAATCATTCTAACCGGTTGTCTAAGCTCACTAAGGTGCAGATGACTTCGAAGCTATCACATACACTTGTTGACTACCAAGTGATTTAATTACTAAGCCAATGATCCATTAATGTGTACCTATTAAAAGACTGTTAGCGACCAATTAGTGACTGTTTAGAATCTGATACTGATTAAGGGTTATGTTATTTATGTGTCTCGTTTTACCAGGAGATATATTAAGAGAAAGATCCGAATGAAGTGGATGGCTAGTATCTGATAATACTTGCCAGGAGTTTGCAAGATTTTAAATGTCTATTCACAACCATATTTATAATGACCTTAACAAACTCACCACACGCCCTAATAACTGGCTTTAGCGCTTTGCACAACACAGTGAAACATTTGCTCAAAAGCCCAGGAAATAATAATGAAGAACAATAATGAAGAATAATAGGTGATATACAAGAATTTACAAATCGTAAAAGTAAATGTCGAATAATGCCAAAAGTATGAAATCTCTTTGTATAATAAGTCGAACGAAGAACTTTTGTCGGTATCAATAAAATATGAGAAAAGTAAAAGAGATTAGAGAAAAAAATTACATCTAGGTAAATGACTGATAGTATGAACTTTATAGAATCAACAACAAGGATATTTCAGTGCTATCTCATTTCTTAAGGTTAAAATCAACAATTAAAACAAACAAGCAATTAAACTGACCTGCAGCAACAGGTACTCCTATCAGATTATATAATGTAGCAGCAATAAAATTACATCGTATTCGACGTACAGTTTTTTTCGATAAATCAATAGCACCAACTACATCAATTAATGAATTACGTATAAGTACAACATCAGCAGTTTCAACAGCAACATCTGCACCACAACCAATAGCTATACCGACATCTGCTTGAGCTAATGCAGGACTATCATTAACACCATCACCAATCATTGCAACATATTGACGTTGAGATTTTTTAAGTGATACACGTAAATTATTTTTTCGATATTTCATTTTATGATGACGTTCTATTTGACGTTGATGAAAAGAATTATTTTGATGTTTTGTTAAAGAATTTGATGATTTTACAAAAGTAGAATAATAATTATAATGTTGACTAGTAAAACAGCATATTACATTAATACACTGTTTAATAAATTGTTGAATAGATAAAGTAGTTTTTACAGATTTTTCATTATATTTACCCTGTGTACTTTGAATAGTATGATTAAATTCATCATCAGTTAATTCTTCATTGGATAAATTCAATTCATTTTCTATATGACAAGATGAATTACCATTATTATTATTTGGAATCGTTTTCTTTAATGATTTGAGTTTGGAATGATTTGGCTTATTTGATATATTCGAATTGAAGATTTGACAATTCGGTTCTAAAATTATACATGAAATAAATATAATGGGTATTAAAAGTTAATCTATTTTTTTTCATAACACAAACATATTTCTAATAAATAATTACTCACTATATTGTGGTGTATGCTACTTATGTTGACAGATATAAGTAGTATGTGACACCAATTAGAAGTGGAATGTCTGGCAGCAGAATATTGAAATAAAGTGAACAAGAAGGGAAACAGAACAATTGTAACAATAGCGGAGTTGAAAGAATCATGAAGCATGTAAAGGACAATTGAAGGTGGATTTGAAAACAATGTATTTAATGTTTAGTTTTCATATTTTACGAACACACTGCCATTTGGCACTAAACAATAAATTGATCTTCATCATTTGAATTTTTGTTCATTATAATAGTACTACCGTTGTAGTGAGTGAAAACCCAAGTAAGATAAACCATTTTACTGTTTTATGCAAAATCAAACAGTGCCTTTGTAAAATCATACATTAAATACATCCTTTAAATATCTTCAGTTATCCTTTACATACTTCATCATTCTTCCAATCCTGTTGTTATTTTGATTGCTCTCTGTATCCCTTCCTCTATCTTGATTTCAAACTTTCGCTGGTAAGCATTCCACTTTCAATCGCTGTTACATACTACTTATGTCTGTCCGCTCTCTTGTACCAATATTCATGTGTTCAAATAACTAAAACTACCTATTACTTTTAAAAAATGAAACTAATTGGCCAACTAAAATTAATGATTAGTGGTAATTACACTAAATTTTTTCAATTTTGACATGACTGAGAAGCAGAGACATCTTCATTAAAATCTCCCTTGTATAAGGTATTCTTGCCAAATGAATGAAGTATTACACATAATTTTGTTTTACAGTGTTCAAAAATGTAAACTTATAGGTCAACGATCTGGCTTCATCATAAACGAACGATGAATAATCTATGAAAATAAATCCTCTGCTTGATTTCGTATATTTGATTTGGGCTAACTCCATTTGGGCGGTGGTAATAAAAAGCCAAATAGAAATTTATTTCAATATTTTATGAGAAAAAGGATGAGAAATGTGAAGTGGAGAAGCCCAAATCGCAGATGGTAAACGTGGAAACTTAGTTAAAACAAAAACGTGACTAAACATTATTTACGGACATCATAAATAAGAAGAGATATAGATATATTGTACGATTATGCACACATGCTCAATATTACAAATATGAATGACAAAATGACTAGGAAGGTTGAAATAAATCATCTTTCCAAAGATAAGGATAAATCGTGTAGACGTGCAACAATGCTAGTTGTTAAGATCTGAAGTGTTTCTTTTTTCTTTTAGAAGAAAACCTAATCTATAGTTTCATCCATTTAACATCTTAGTGGAAAAAAAAGAAACAAACGGAGAAACTAAATACAACTTGAAAATCAACAGTTTAAATTCATAAAAAAGAAGGGGAGTGTGAGAAGTTACATCGATTTTGTGCATACACACACTCATTCACACTAATGATGACGATATCGAAGGTATTTTTTAAAATCATAACTGAGATAAATAAATTACATTGAGTGACGATAACAGATTTTAGTCAACTCTTTGATTCTTAGATAAATCTGCATAATCTATGTACGTCAGTTAACTCACAGTTGTTAAATTCATCACAATACCGACTAGGTATTTGTGCACCAGTGTGCGTGTGTGCGCACTGGATTAAAGACAACAGCATCAGGTTTTTTTCTCTCTCACGAGTTTAACTATTCTAGGAGTTTTATTAAATTACCAACATGACGGAAATCAGTTAAACTCGTTTATGCTCGTATACTTGATTAAATTACAATTCAATCTGTTTGTATGAATTCACGCAACACAATCAACTTGTCTATGTGTATGTAGACCGGGATTAGGTGAGTCAGAGGCCAAACATGCGGCTTAACGATTGAAACTTCAATGGTCTGCTCAATACTCTACCTTATCATTTGGTTGTATGAGTGAGTTTGTTGGTGACATCAAATCCCCAGAACTCACTTGATAAACGTCTTATTTTTGCAAGTTTATTTTGGAAGTTTGAATTTATTTTTTTTTGATCCAAAAGCGCTCATTTTCACCTTCGTGTCGCATTTCCCACTTGGGAGGACCTTAAATGTCATTGGTTAATTGTCTCTTTTAATATGCTATTTTGTAACGTTTCCCAAGAACATTTTTATCCCGCATATATACTCTTGAATTGTGCTTGTGAGTGTTGTCCGTGATCCTGGATGCTTGTGGAATACATTTCCCTCTTCTGAACCTGGACTTCTCTCTTGTTAGCTGGCTGGGATGCATCAGAATAGCTAGCTTATTTGGTCACTAAATCGCTGAGTCTTCGTTCGGTTCGCAGATTAGGTGAATTAGTAATCTCTTCAAACATAGCAGAATTCGAATAATTTTTTAAAAATAGTTTGCAGAAAAAATCTACTTATCACCCATATTACACACATTCCATGAATATTAAGTACATTTTAGGGAAAATAAAAATAAAAAAGCGTTTAAACCATTCGTTTGTTGATATTTAGAACTAAATGTCGATCAATCTTTGCTGCTATATATTCATCCTGGCTATTTCGAGGAAATTCGCATAGGATTTATACATATAACTAATAATGACTGATTAAAATTTATTCCTAAACATCAACAATGGGATAACTTAATCCTTTACTTATAATCGTATAAACATGATGCCCGTCAGACAGGTGAGTGGCTGTTTAAACTCAATAGCTCAGATAATATCCCATTAATGTTTAAAAAATTAAGCACTGAATTTGATTTTCAATGTGAACGTCAAAACAGGAATGCAGATTACATCCAGCTGACTAATCTCAAACAGAACGAAACACGCATCATAGACTTCCCTGATAGCCATAATCCATCTATTTTAAGTAACATGTTTACTATTATTATTGTGATATATTATTAATAAATTGTAAACATAATATAAAACTCACCATCTCCAACAATGTTAGTTACACAATCAGTATTATCTGAAATACAACCTTTCGTTGTCTTCATTTTATTCTGTCTTTTATTTCTAATCTTCGTCATCGACATCATAGTAGAATTTCTCTTATTTCTTCTACGAACAGTTGTACAATTTTGTAATTCTTTTATTTTATCCGCTTTATGACCAGGTAACACTTCAGCATAAACTTCATCAATACCGATTTGTTGTGCGACTGCATTAGCACTACGATAATTATCACCAGTTAATAGAGCTACACGCATACCACGATGGCGTAGTGCAGCAACAATTAAATCAGCTTCCGGTTTAATTGGATCAGAAATTGTTACTAGACCGACCAGAATATTATCAATGGCGACGTAAACGACTGTGTGACCTTGAGACTCATCAGCTGAAACTAGTGAGTCCAATGTTGGGATGTTACAATAGCCAGCAGTTTGACGATTTGATTCACGTCCATCCGGTAGGTATTCATTGGATAAAATGATGGGCAATATTACGTTGTTTTGTTTTAGCCATTCACGATTACCAATCAGTACAGAATGAACACCACCTTTAGTGGAGTCTATAAGTGAGAAGTTGAGTAGAAAAAACGTAAATATCGAGTCAAATATAAACATATACGAGAAAAACACTTTCATTTTTAGAGAAATAAGGTAGTTATGAAAAAGACAGATGAAATAAACTGGTGAAAATTTCATGATATCCTTAAAATTCCAGATCAATTCAACTCAAAGTCACTGCAATAGTTTGTCAATTGATTGTAAAGTTTTCAAACAAAAATAAACATCCTGAGACATTTCAATAAATCAAATTATGAATTGAATTTTCTAAAATTATTTCAATAAACAGGTAAAAATTTATGTACTATACACTTTGGGGCAAATCTTTTTATGTGAGGGGTATTGATATTAATCAACGCCTAAACCAAAATAGAGAGGCTACAACTAAGAGGTTAGAAGTCATGTTCTAACAATTTACCTATAACGTTTTATATTACTACTAATTACTGACTAATGTCAGTTCATGATATTATCAGTTAGGAAACGTTAAAGGTTGTTGCTAGTGGACCATATATGTTGCTAATAGACGCAAGTTTAACAATTTACTCACAAAGCACTTACAGTCAGGATTACTGTCACTTAGAAAGAATAGAGCATAACATTTTATTTAATTTGTGATCACGTGCTTAGTTGTAAACCCACATTTGGATTATCCAACCACCATGTTTTAGAATAACAATGTGTTTTTAGACCTATACACTTTCGACGCTTTGATTGTCCATTAGGTAAGAATTATTTTAAAAAGTTTTCAATCTAAGAGATTACACAATTACAACAAGGTGGGAAAAATCAGCAACTTCGGAAATCGCTGTATATCACCCTATTAACCATATCTGTTGTGAAGATTTCGAAAGACGTCAAGTCATTTGCAGAGTAGGAGGTGAAGCGCTGTACGCATTTAATGCTCACACACAGATTGAAAAACAAAGAAGGCTAGTGTAATCAGTTACAGTTCAACTAATCATATGCATAACAAGGTTGTTCATGTTTCTGAAGATTAAATGAGAACTAATTGATATTCAGTTGTAAACAATAGCAAACAAATTACATATATAAAGATTGGTCTTACCAATCGCTACTGTTAAGCACTTAAATAGCTAAATATGAAGATTGTGAATAATTTCGGACTTAAGAAAGTTATTCGAAATCTATGGGTAACTTTTGAGATCTATCTGTTTACTAATGAAGTTAAATTTGTGGTCAAAAGTTAGGAGTGATTAAAACATTGGTATAATGAACTTTATACAAAAATGACTGCTTATTCAGTACACTTTGAATTAGTTTAAATCGAAGTGAAACAAATTTATTTATCTACTAGTTGGTTTATATATGTTTTTAGAACCTTCAAACCTTTCAGTATCGAACAATATATTTAGCGTAGTGTAGAACTTTCTACATACATTATTACCACCGTCAAGTTTCTCTCTAATATACAGTTCAATTACATACTTATTATGTGAGAATCATAATTCACTTGCACTCGCTTACTGGAAAGAAAACACTTTATAGAGTTTAAAGTCGATCATAAATTAATGTGTGAAAATTTCTCCCTCACTCAGTTTGAAATATACATACTTATCCATACGATAGAACTGAACAGTCGTTAACTTGATTCTTGGAACCTTTATATACAAATTAGTTATAAATATAAGTGTGAAAGATATTTTGGGTATCATTTGCAAAATTAAAGATATGACAATGAACAGGAAATATGTGATATTTCTAGATGTTGGATCTACTTTTCTTTATCTACTGGTTAAGGCAATTGAATTTATATATCAAGAAAGCAAATCAATATTGAAATTGTCCAATATAGTCTAGGAGAAACTGAAAATTCAACAATACACAATACAAACACATTGATGAGATAGAAGAGATGGCTTCTTTGTTGTTGTTGTTTTTTACGAAAAATTACATAAACACCAAACTTTTAGCTTTTTTTCACAACCAAATCAGAGGATAAGTTACCAAGGAGATGAATTCATAATATCATTATTATAACAGATAACACATTCATTATTATCGATTGTAAAAAGTTTTACTCAAGTAATTTAGCAGTGTACAAACAGTAGTCATTTTTAATTATAAGGAATAGTTTGATCATGAATTCTTTCTTTTCTTGACGTTTTATTATGTAAATAAGAAAAGTAGCATTGTACACAAAAACAGTTCACATATATGTATCAATCAATACTTTATATTAATCTACTATTAAAAGAAGTTTAGGTTGGATGCTAGAAACGTCTGATGAGAGACAATGGTCTATTTAAACTAAAACAAAGTAAAAATTTATCACCAATAATAGTTTATTATTATTATTATTGATATGATTAGAAGCCTTCTTCTATCAGAATCCCACCAGTCAGTCAGTCAGCTACAACTTAGGACCAGGCACATATATGTATCGGTCCCAGTTGCCATACCTCATTAACACAACAAGATGGACACCGGATTCATAAAAGTAGTTAATTCAGAGGTGGCAATATATAAAAGAAAGATTGCAATAAAGATATAGTACACGAAGAAAGAATTAGTTCGTAGAAAGAAAGATATGAAGCAATTTTAATCTCTTAGTTTAAGGGAAGATAGAGAGTGTATACACCGACGACATTGTGATCGATTCTGAGCCCTGTCACCAAGAGTCTCCAACCATTGGTTACGATAGTCACGCGGACCCCAACCAAGTAGTCTGCATCTACCAACATGGCTCAGACTAGAAGTTAGTGACTTCAAGCACTGATGCCATGTTTTGGTTTGGCCGGCCCTAACTTTCTTCTAACCATCACCAACACTAGACAACATTGCGCGCTGCGGTAATCGGTGTTCAGGCATGTGTAACACGTGGCCCAACCATCTCAGTCGATGAAGATTCACAACCTCATCAACTGATTTACCATCGTTCGCTGATACCCTGCGTCTAACCTCACTATTACTTACTCGGTGATCCCAGCAGACGCCAGAATCCCACCAAAACATAATCGAACATCAAACAATAAAATACATGAGTATCTAGATTAATACAAATAAATATTATACTGAAAAAGAAATACACAATAAATTTTAAATATTAGAAACACGAAGTTCAGAGATTCCTTTTCAACGAATTTATTATCAAACTGTACAATTATATATACAATTGTACATCTTGATAACAAATTTATTGAAAAGAGATCCTTTTCGCTGAACTACGTATTTTTGACACAATAAATTCACAACATAACTACCTGCCCATTCAATTCTTTCTGATCCATTTAAAAAGTGTCTATACTGTTGCTGTTGAGAAGTGATGATATCATTGTTTGTACTAATTTTCTGTTGCACACTTTCTTTGCAATCTCCCAATGCCTGATACTCATCTAATTCATTGACTGTAGAATGAGAACTAGCCGGATACGTCATAGATTGATCAGACAACAGATCATTAAACTTTTGAAAACTAATATTATTGTTATCATTCAATTCATCATGATCCCCATTAACAAGATTATTCTCAGTAGAAGGTGTATTTTTTGTCGGCCACATACATGATATGTAAGTTAATTTCATTTGTAACGCTGCATTAATATCTAATTCAGTGTACTGATTGCTGAAACTATTACTTCTAACATCTAAAGGCTTCGGCAATGCCGGACCTGGTGGACAATCATACGGTAATAGATCAACATTACATTGAACACCTAGTCCAGATGAAGTTCTAATTTGAGAAATCTATAAAAACAGAAACAAAATGGAAGCACATATATTATAACACATACATAAACTCCAGGATATACAGAACTAATGATCACTGCTTCGACATAAGGTGGTAGTGGTGTGGGTTACTTATATCCGCACAAGCAGTACGTAACGATGGCCAGGCATAGAACGTATTTCAGTAGAAGGTCGATGGGGAAATAACGGGAACGGAACGCAATTGGTATGAACAACTAAATCTGAAACAATGGATTGGTGTTTGCAACAGGAACAGTTAAGTTTGAGATGATGGATTAATATTTTGCAAATTAACTATTTACTATATGGTTCTCAGATTTTATTGAGATGCTCTGTAATTTCGTGTCAAATACATTCGATTGTCCTCACTGGTGCTCTGTTCACTACAGTACAAAATACCAATAATTTGAGTAGAGAAAATGTTTGAACCGTTCAACTGTTAAAGCGAAACTAATGTTTAAATACCTTTTTGCAAACAATACTTCTTTAGTAACTCATTTTTGTAGCTTACTTATTTACACCTATTAACCCGCGTGGAGCATGGATCACCGACCAGGATTCTCCAACCAACTCCGTCTATAACTTTTTCGGTTACGTCTGGTGTTTAGCCAGCATAGGGTCACAACCCCATCCCCGTAAAAAAGAAACTTGGTTGGAAAACGCTAACCAAGAAAAAGTCATCTAAACCATTTAAATATTCCTCTGAGAGTTGAAGGGTCTTCATACGGATAAATTATGAAGTCTCATGGTGATACCCGAAATTCTTCATGAATCACAAAGCTGATGCTCTTTCTGACAACAGGAGCAACAATTACTATAGGTAAATGAAATGTCCAGAAAATCTGGGAGACCGAGATAACTAATCAAATAGCTGTGGAAATGGAGAGATACAACTTGGCGGTTTTTAGAATAAGGGAAATCAAATGAGGCCTGTAATGAACAGAAAAGATTAGCTTCGGGAGAGGTGTTGTTGTACTCTGGTCATGAAGAAGAAAATACCTTGCACACACAAGGGGTTGCACTAATGCTGTCTAAGGAAACCCGAAGAGCACTTATGTGATTGGAATCTCATGGGTATGTGTATGCTACCACTGAGAAGAAAATGAATTGCTAAATTAAACAAAATGAAGATGGTTCAGTGAATAAAAGCTTTTTTTGACGCTGTTATCTACTTAAACTACATAATCGTAATTACAGTTACTTTTTACGCATGGCAAATTGTCAGTGGTAAAACTGATAATTTAGGCCACCTAAACGTAAATTTATCGCTTCACTTGTTTCTGGAAAGCAGGTTATATTAGTCGCACAAGTCGTGAACTTTTGAACACATATATAGCTCCCTAAAGGTGAGCAAATATCAGTCAACAACTCATTCCTTAAAGATAGGCGTCACCTCTAGTCACGTACCGCCATCAGAACAATCATTCAACGTTATCTACAAAATCAAAAGAATAGCCTTAATCAAGGATTTAGGTCAGACATTTTTGTACATCCGAGGATTTATTAATCCACCAACTTAAGCCCGACATTTACGTACAAAGTGAAGACGTTTTTAACCCTTTATCTTAACCTTAGTCATAGTACTCCTAATTGTACAAATTATTACTACTTATTCTGTGTACTAATCATCTTTAAATTCGTCTTATAGATAATCATATTTTAAAGTTCGTTTTTTTGCAAGTTAATACGTTTTATTACTTTTAGGACGATTACTTAACTTATAGTTGATATCTGAAAATTGTCGATTACTTCTGATAACTTTGTTAAATATAGCAACACCCCTCTATTTTATTGTAGACTCTTATGTTTAACGATACCTTCGATTGTGCACCATTTTAGAAAGTGCAACTGTCCATGATAAATTTTCTTTGCTAAATAATATTCATATTTGTTTAGCGAGGTAATAGGATAGTTTCATTTTCTTAACATTTCTAAATACTTCTAACTTTGGTAAAGTTCTGAATTTTACAGAGCAAATAATTTTATGGGCTTACGAACTTGCTTTGTAAGTGGTGAGGAATCATTGAATGGGTGTTTCTGACATCATGCATAGAGATAATAAATGTCTACAATTGTGTGGTCATTGAGCAAGGACCAATATCATACATTTCTGGTTCATTTTGTGCTGACTAAATTCCATAGGTTGTCCACTAGTCTAAATAACTCGAGATCGTATGCACTGTGTTGAGATGTAGGGTGGTGGTTGGAAGTAGTCAACAGGAATTCTTGGAGCTAGGTTAGTGGTGTTTGGGACTCGGCAGCAGGGTACACTTGTAATCTTGAGGGTCGATAAAACTCAATGAGCTCTAAAAAGACTTGATATACATGGTTTTGATCACTACTCAATGATCAACTGATCGTAAATACTTATCAGTCATACGCGAGGTCAGTCGCAGCCTGAATAGTTCAGAGGTAACATCTCTAACTGTGAAAGTGGGTGACATAGGATCGAATTTGTCATGGAGCATTAGTTTCCTCAAGATTTCAGGTACATCTTGTTGACGAGCCCCAAATAGCACGAAACATCGGTCCAGGGCTTTTTGTCGACTACTTCCAACAGTTAACTTAAAAATAATGCATACCTCAACCGTAGCCTACTCAAACGTACTATGTACTGATTTTAATAGGTGAGGGTTAAGAAAAAGTGAACTAAAAGTTTTCCAATATGAACTGTAGACACGGACACGTAGAAAAGATATTCAACATATAACAAAACATAACTATTTTGAACTAAATAAGTAATAGTATACTGATAATTGCCCACCTTTGCAAAGTCATTAGATAAATCATAATTCATTTTACTATTATAAGTATTCTGATAATTTACTCCATCTTTTGATGTATTTAATAATAATTCATCTAAATTAAATGATAATGCAAATCGACGAAATGTACGTGCTATAATAAGTAGAGCATTTGCAAGAGGATGTTGTACTGTTGATTCTGCACTGGCGATAAGATATAAAAATCGACTAGGTGATATGTTTGAACAGAGTTGTGGTTTATATGAAGAGATTGATAATGGTGAACTTTGATCTGGTGATTGGTATTTGTTCTGTTAAGAGAAGAAATCAGACATTAGGTAAATTAATCAGTTTATATAAATAATTGGTACTTGCCATATAAATTAGAAATAAAAATCTGAAGTTAACCAAAATAATGTATTAAACCAAGTTCCTTTAACATTTTAATAGAACGACATGAAACCAATAAGAATATGGTTCTAAAAGAAAAAAAAATGAAAAGATATGTATGGCGGAACATTGACATTCGGAACCTAGAAAATAATAAAAAGTGAAATCATTTGAGTCAGCGAAATCGATTCTAAAACCATTTAATTTAACATCTCTAACTAATGATGGCTGGTTATTTAGCAAACCTTAATCAGGGAATTTCCGTCTACTAATTTGAATCAAGTCAACAGATTCCGTGAGCGGGATCGTAGATGCGCACTGCCGAGGAGTCCCACAATAGGACGAAACGGCCGTCATTGGTTCCAGGCTTTCAATGATGGTCTAAAATCAATCGGTTCATGATCTCAACCAAAAAACTTAACAATCTCCACAACCCCTAAACTGATAGTTAATAATTTCATGGACTGCTCTGACCTTAGACTAAGGACATCAACAAATTGGCCGTCATTATCTAACCTTATTATTGCACGCTCGGATGTTATACGACAGGCAAACAATGGTGTAAAGTTATCTTACGCTTACAGTTTTCAACCAACTAGTTGGTCCATCTATGATGGACTACATTCACTTTAGTAGAGGTGTCCCCGCCCCGGAACAGTCTCGTCTGAAAATTTCTACCTGATTTAAAAACTGATTATAATTATGTATGTAATTAGGGATATTGTATTTGTAGGCATTGAGTTTACACCAATATACACGCATACAATTGAAACTTTTCAACTGAAAGCTCATAAACAAAATTCAGTGTAAATCTTTTCGAAGAGACTAAATTCAACAGTAAAAAATGTGAATAGTTTTACGAATACAAATAGTCGGTCCCAGTTTTTATCCAGTTGGAAGTTAGTTAATCCATAATAAGTATCAACATTAAACCAAAATGCAAATATGAATCATTTAAATAAAACTATTTAAAATGTAATTTAAGCAAATCAATTTATAACATTGTCGGCGATGATGAGTTCATCAATTGTCACATATGCACCTAAACAGATGATTAATAATAATGTAACTAAACAGTTCTGTGCTAATTCATTCTATTAAGTATTGATTATCAGAGTTTGTTCTTTTTCTTTACACAGTTTACTAGTAATTTATATTACTAACAACACACACACACACAAGCACAAACGAAAGACTTTAAAATGATTTATGAGCAATTGATGGTTATCGATAGATATCACAAGCTAAATAATTGTAATTGATATAATATATTTTGTATTGTAGAATGAAATGATATTGAGAAAGATTAAATATTGAGAATATAAATTCATCATTGAAAACTTCAGAAAACAAACAAACAAAGAATATCACTGAGTGTAAAAACTCATGGGAACAAAAGTAGTAACTATTATTTTTTGCCTTGGACATTTTGTAATTTCCTATTGCCATTGTGAGAAATAGGTAGCACATTGTTGAAGATGCTACTGATAATCCTTGAGTAAAATCGAAATTATAATCACCAGGCCTTGAATTTCACAAGCCTTATTATCATAAAAGATGGTCAACAAACAATCTTTCAATCTAATGTAGATAGTCTGGTTTATTATAATAGACAAGTCAAACACCATAACATTAAAAAAGCAGTTACAATCAAAATATGTTATAGTATTCAACCATCATTGTTTGAAAAAACGAAACTCCGCAAGTAAGTGTACATTAAAAATCCTATTTACTTCTGCAGACGTTACGTAACTAATGTACCGTGGCGTATGTTACTTATGTCGACAGATATAAGTAGTGTGTAACACCAATCACAAGTGGAATGCCTGCAGCAGAAGATTGAACTGAAGTGAACAGGAATGAAAACAGAGAGTAATTGTCATTACAACAGAATCGAAAGAATCATGAAGCACGTAAAAGACAGCCGAATGAAGAGGTGCAAATAATGTATGTGATGTATAGTTTTCATATTTGATCATGACACCGTAATTTCGCACTTGAAAAATATATCGGTTATCGCCACAAAGTCTTCGTACTAACGCGTAGCAAATGAGAAGAATGTACACACATTTAAACAGAACGTCTAATGAGTAATCAAATAAAAGGTTATATTGATAGTGTGTATTTTACAGGTTATTGAATGTATGGCAAATTAACTGTATTTTATTTATATTCAGTGAAATTTACCTACTGAATAAATGTAACTCAAAAAATCAAAGAAAAAAAGACAAGGATTATATGAAAATTTCGTGTAAACACATTCGTTACTCATAACACAGTAAAAGCCAGATCATTCAGCTGTTTTTCTGCTTTAACATATAAAATTATTTTGTTTCATTGTCTATCATTTACTGAACTAATAATGGTAATAAACAATTGTATATTGACAATGTCATAGTTATATTTTGAAGAAATTTCTATTTTATAGGAGGATATATGAATATTAATGCCATGTGCCCACTAGTGATTTAAATTCAAGACGAAATTCTTAATTTAGTCGATGATTAAGGAACCATAACAAGTGAAAGATTATATATTATTGATCAATAGCAAAGATCAAAGATCACATCCCACAAACCATGAAAAAAATAATCTTCGTGTATTTACATTTTGTTATGTTTTACAAAATAATAAAAATGAAAAAAACCACAACGAGTACTTACTACTTCTGTGGATCTCTCCATTTCACCATTAGGTGGTATAAACATAACAATACGGATAACTTGTGGTCGACCTTGAGTGATTGTTCCAGTTTTATCAAATAATATTGTAGTTAACTAAAAAGTTTGCAGAAGGAACAAAAAACGTTAATATAATATATTCTGAAATTGAGAAAATAAATACACCGATTAACAGATCGATGCAACAATATTTATATATATATATATATATATATATAAGCAGTATAGTTGGACAAAAAATTTGGTAAAAAGTATAGTAACAAACCAATTAGAATCAAGAATGCAACTTTTAGGTTCCAGAGCGAAATTTGTAAAACACACATTACGAGCAGTAGAAGTACTTATGTATAGTGTTCAAATAACAATAGATTATGTTTTGGTACATAAGAGTAAAAATGATAGCATTAAACATTGTATGTAACAAACTTATCAATCCTAGATCCTGAAATTCTGAAACAAACTTAAACTGTTTGGGACTTCATTTTATGGACGAATTAATCAGACAGTACCTCTTAGATTGTTGAACAAAATTTGTTTATCCATATAGCTAAAGAGAATTGTTGCACTAAAGCTGATATCAATTTGCAGTGAAAACTCTAACCCAGAATCCCTAAGCAAAAGCAAGATGAGGACTTTTAATACCTACTTTCGCCCATATAAGACCTTGAGAAAACAGATGTTTTAAATTTGTAAGAGGGGATTTAAATGCCATTTTTTCGATTTAAGGAAAGAATACCATATGGAGAACTTAAATAAACTCGTTATATATACAAAATTCGATTATACTTTGTAATACTATTGTATTCTTTTCCATAAACTGTTCATTTACAAAATCGTTTTTCTAATTGGCTGAGGACTGCTAAAAGTTCATCGTAGTTGTTTTAAACTCCTCTCTACATTACCCTTACAGTTATTTGTTTGCTTACTTCACAAGTACTAAGTCAGTTCATTACGATGATAACATTGCTTATTGAATAGAATGGGGAAAAAGAGAGAGGGATAACAGACAATGTAGTTCATTGAAATGGTTCTAATCCGAATCACTAAATAATGCTTATGACCTGATCGTTCTAGCCTTTTGTCGAATATTTCACTTTGGAAAAAACTCCTTGTATGTAATCCGTGGTTTGAGTTCGAGCGAAAAGCATTGAAACTAATATCCAACTAACTATTAAATCTAATCTCGCAAAGCCAGTTCATCAATATTCGCCAGACGTCTATGAAACATAAGTTATATCTGAACACTCAACGACGTAACAACTACGGACGGGATTATTACTGTATGTTGTGATGGTGATGATATCACTATGAACCATGGTCATGAACGGATGTCTCTTATTTAATCAACATAAAATCTATGTTTAAAGATAACTTGTATTATGTTTCCAAAATCAATGATTGTTCTGCGATATTTCAAATCAGTTTTTATACGTCGTAAACCACTTTAGATATTAGCATTTCAATGTTTATACATATATAGTATACGTAAAATAGAAGTTATCATATATATATTCGAGAATTCAAAAATATGCAATAAATTAGACATACTTTATGCATATTCTCTAAAGGTTGACCACCTTTTATTAATATACCAGCTAATGCACCAGTCCCGGTAGCTACCATCACTGCTGTTGGTGTGGCTAAGCCAAGAGCACATGGACAAGCTATGGTTAATACAGTGATAGCCATACGAAAAGCATGATCAATAGCTAACAGGGGAATGGAACAACCAGGCTGAAATTTAAAAAATTTAAAGACGCACGTATGAACACAGATACAAATATATGCAAAGAAAAAATGAGGTTCAGAGCTAAGTACAGTTAGTATAGATGAAAGTTTATATCATGATTAATGTACCAGACATATGAGATACTATTGTGATGTTCAATGTATTTTTTATTTGCAAGTCTAATCCAATAATCTATACACAATAATTGTTATGAATAGTTGAAGAATGTATACGGCATAGTTCAAAAACCCATCATACTGGTGCAGATATTTGTACACGTTTTTTATCTTCCCCGTATATATGATATTAACGCATACTATTTTATTCAGTGAATTCATTCCATCTTATTGAATCATATATTATCTGTGTATATCTTTCTTTATTATTATTAATATAACTGATTCGTTGATTTATCGACAATTCATATTGTTGATTTCATTCCATTGTAATGATATGGCTTGATGCAAATCGGTCTGTCCAGCACATGAATGCCAGATTTTATATTGATTAATTAGATTGACTAACTAACTGAATCTATTAGACGGATAACATAAGATGTACTACCAAAAGCGATGATACCAAAAAACCCATTCTACATCATTCATTTTACTTTTTTATGTCAACAATGAAATAAGCAAACAACAATACTACTATCAACAACAATATAAAATACTCATGAACCCCAGTTTCAGTAAAATGTAAGACTTTTCTGCATATTTTAAGTGTATAGGATTTGTTACAAAAACCGCCAAATGAAGATATTGCAAATGAATTGAAGAATGTATAGTAAGTAGATAAAGATAACAGTTGAGTGATTGTGATGACATGACCTTATATGGGATTTTACAGTGAAGTAGATAGGAAGAAAATGGAACTAAAACCTATTGATCAAAACTTACGCGTCTAATTAAGGAAGCTACAACCCTAGTGCAGAATGAACGACAATATTAAATGAAAATCAGTTCGTATAATTTTCAACAAAACCAGAGTCACAAAATGATGTAACTGAGTGGTATCCCGGATCGATCACATGCTGTCAATTTTTATTTATTTGAACACATAAATATTGGTACAAAGGGGCACCAAATATATATGTGCCACACAAAACAATGAGAATTTGAAGAGAAGAAGGAAAAAAGAAAGGTGTGGAGCGTTAAAAAAAGAACAATAACGAACAGATTAGTGTAAGGTAGTGTAATAATAATAATAATGGGGGAAACAGAAACGTACAATCAGAAGAGATTTTTCAGTTAAGGAAGAAGCAACCACTTTTTATGGAGTAAAAGAAGGTTACAGCAGGATCGCCACTGGCTCCTATTCTGAGCCATATCTGATAACGTCTCTAGCCACTGTGTTGCAACATCTCTCGGACCCCAGCCATAGAGTCGTGAAGGACCAACACAGGCCAACCCTTTGCAGCTTTCTTTCATGCCACGAAATCATTTCATACACTGACCACCATGATGTCATACGACCACATAATTAGTATAACATGCAAATATTAATCGGCTATTATTAATAAGAGAATTGGTTAACTAGCCAAGGTCAGAAGTTTCATCTCCCTACCTGAATCAGTTCAACAGCTTATTTAAACACGTGATCTGCGTACATAATCGAATAATGACAAAATGTTTATGTTCTCTACCTTTATAGGTCATATTTAATAGGAATAATCTAATGCAAATAGAACCTCTAGGAAGTATATTTGCCCATTGATAAATAGATAAACACATTTTTTAGGCCAGAGATCGACCCAAAGTCAAACGAACGTTGTATATCTACGCTGTTATCCAATCGTGAAGATTTAACGGAGAAAGCACAGGAAATTTGGTCGAATTCATTGTTGTAAGTTCCATTTCAACTGAAAGCTATAAAAGTAAATGAGCACATGCCAACTGTACCTATATTTCTTTCGATAGCGACAATGAATAATTACAATGGTCGAAAAAAGGTAAAATCTGGTTTTAAAAAAAACCTCGAGCAATAGACATTTACAGAAAATGGACAACAACTTACTTCATAGCCTTTTATGGTTGTTGGTACCAAGAAGCCTAAAGTGATCCATAAAATAAAAACTGTCAATGACACTAAACAAATAAATGGAACAAAATAACCAGCAATCTTGTCTGCAAGCTGTTGTACTGGTGCCTACAATGAAAGGTAAACAGATAGAGAAAATTTATATACCTATTACAATTGATTTGTATAAAAAAGTATGATCAGAAACCATATAGGTTTATTAGAAGAGTGACGCGCTTGTCGTATTTTAAATTTTGACTACTAATTTAACCAAATTCTGAAGACGATTTGATTAAATCGGTCATTTTCTGCGTTACGAACTAAAAGATGTGTTGCCTTAATGATATTCTCTCATAAATGGATTATAAAAGTACACGAAGAGTTTCGTATTTTTCTGAGGACAAATATCTCGATTATAATGTGTTCTATCACATGCCAGAATTATCCACTGAAGTTGAAACTTAGTCACGATTTTAGATAGTCCATATTATCAACTGCTCTGGTGTTTTATCACGTCCCCTATTATAAATACAAATGACTACTGAATAGTTTCTAAATATAAATAACGTTTTCAGAAAATTAATAGATACACTAATCAGCCACTGATAAGTAACTACTAACATCATGTTGCCTAGTGTCACCTGGTGACTATCTACTTCCGTAGAATAAGTTTGCTGTCGTTCAGAACAGGGTAGAAACCAAATAACCTCAATAAATTCATCTGAACCGATTGATGGGTGAAATTTGTTATCTAATAAAATTCTAATGCAACTCAATAACCAAATACATATCTATACATTGAGTTTGAATACATATTTTGTATGGAAGTTAACGACACTGTTCAATTACCTCAATCAGAGTGAAACACCTTAAAGACGCAAATGCTCAATGGAAGTTGATAAAAAAGTAATTAATAAAATGCATAATGTAAACTAAATATGGGAAAAAGGTCATGGAAACCCGTAAACTAAGTTATTACCAAATACAAACAAAACTTTTACATAAAAAAATAGTATTTCCTAATCATGAACAAACAAATAAAAGTGGTCACTTTTTTCGTAAGATAATCTAACAAAAAACCAACTTTCGAAGTTTGTGCCTCTTCAACAAGACGAACGATTTGAGATAAGGCTGAATCCTCGCCGACATGAGTTGCTTTGGCCCATACAATACTAGCTAGATTGATAGAACCACCAATCAAATCTGATCCTATATACACATACAGAAAAAAAGTTATCAGTATGATTCAGATAAACTGTATTAAATTTATATGCAAAACGTTCTTAAGACGATTGTCACAGATAACTGCAACAGATCAATTTGTCCTCATTTACGACCACAACTAACATCAAGGTGATAATATTTAAGTTATATACACTGGACTAAAGATAACTTTGTTTCTGTTTGTCCATATGAACAACCATGATTGAATTAGGTTCGAGTTTCAATGTGAACATAAAAACTAAGATACAATCGCATACAGTAAAGGAGTTATGAATAGAACGTAATGAACTGTTAGGACTTTGCTGTTAGCCATTAATAAAATTGTTGACAATGGTTATGGAGTTTTGAAATAAAATTAAATCAGACCATATTATGAATTACTACTGGATAAACCCCCTTGAGGAATTGTTTTGTACAACTGTACAACCATTTAAATGAAATATGTTCGTTTAAGTAGTAAATTGAAGTAAGCATGTAAAACACGATAAGTATTGAAGTACATAATGATGTTTTAATTTATAAAAATATTTTATTTAAATGCACAATTACGGTTCATTCCACACACCACTATAAATAATAACTTGTTACGAATTTACTAACCCCCCTTCCGTTCAGCAAAAATTAGACTAAATCCATAATTTCTAGACTACATGGAAGAATTCGAGACTTAACTGATGGTAAAATTACTCTCACTTTTGATATGAATTTCATCTTTGAAAAAAATATAATAAATAATAATTACATTTACCACCGTGAAGTTTGAACAAACGAGTGTACAAATACTGAGCGTTAGGAAATCAGGTAGCTTGATTACCAGATCAAGCAAATAGGTAATACATATTTTATAGTAGCGATTATCACTATTTTGAAATACAGACGGTTCTATAACAACATACAATGAGGGGAGATCATTTGTTTGGTCGTGAATAATCATTTTTGAATAAGAACAAATTAGGTATTTAACTAATAAACTAAGAAAAAAAGTTAAGCAAATATTAGTGAACAATATTTCTTTGCTCTTTTTATCATTCAGTGATACTTTAGAATGTAGTATAGATTCATTTTGGTTGGTTTTATGTACTACCTTTCTTTTACATAAGGGGCTAATGATATTAATTAGCTCAGAAAAGCCAAAGTAGAATGAAGTGATATTGAAAACATGCATCTCAAACTACTATTCCTTTAGAAGTTGTGCTAGTACACTGCGTGTATGTGTATATTTCAAATAGTTATGCATCAAGTAAATGAAAATGATGAAATATAGTAAAATTAGAAACAAAAAACTATCATACTAAATTCAGTTTATAATATCAACACTCGTTGTAAGGGTTAGTATTTTCCTGTTGTTGATGTGAGGAATTATCAATAATTCGGTTTTTGTCAATTAGTTATAAGCATTTAGTAAAGATAGATTACGGCTAGAAGTGGAATCTAGGACGTCTACTTCGTTCAATTTAGGAGAGATCAGCTAGATGCAGCACCATTCCAGTACTGACGTGTTCTCGCCAAGAATGGACCCCATTACATATCACTACAGACGCTAACGTGTTTCCCCTTTAAGCTACTCAATCGAATTGGAAATTCAGAAGCAGATTGATCGTACTCCAACTCTCTCAGTAAAACGTTATCACAAGCTAAATGTGTTGAATTCCACCATCACTTATTAAACCATCAGAATCACCTACCGAAAAGTCGATATATTTATACAACACATTTAAAATAAAAATTACTTCGTATTATAATTAATCCTTTTTTCCTTTTTGTACACACAGACAAACAGATAATACGTAAATTAATAACTAAGGAATATGAAATAATGGAGTGAAGAAATCACAAAACGAGAAAACAGTGCGAAGATGTGACAAAACAAATCTAAACCCATACTAAGTGAAAAAAATAACCAATAACTATAATCAATATCATGCTAGTGTAATAATAATTATTATAACTGAGTGATTTTCAGATCACTTGGTTAATGATCAAAAAGATTGATTCATACGAGCTAAAACTCTTGAAACAACAAATTAACTGAAGTTGGGTAGAGAGTTTCATGCTATATGGGGGCCATGCTGAGGTGCTCACTGTTTAAGAGCGTCAAACTAAGGTACAGCGCTACAGCCTTGTTGAGATCAAATAGTTCACGAATAGAAAACCGTCCCTGACAAATGTATTAAGTTTGCGGTAATATATATATATATATATATATATATATATATATATATATATATATAAGCCCAAATCAGATAGTTGGGTGAGAAAACCACATTTTTAACCAACAGCGTATATATTTCCTTTGAAGGTGAAGCTAAAGCTTAATTAAAAGCAAGTGCCGCCAGCATCTCTCATTTATCATTTCACGTATACTAGTTAGCATAGAGTATCAAAATATTACTTTCCAAATAATTAATTGTCTTTTTCTATTTAATGAATAAGTAAACGAGAAATATCCATAGACTGAAATGATTAAGAAATATACATCACACACCATGACTAGCAATAGCAAGTCAATTCCTACGTACGTAATGCAAAAACTTTGAGTTATCCATTTGTTATTATTAAGGACAAAACACTTTAGAAATATTAGAAATTGCCATTGTGTAAATCAAAAATGCACACATGAGCAAACAATATCAATTTCGATCATATATTTATCAGAAAATGTTTAAGAAATCAAGGGAATTTATAAATCAGTGATAACAGTGAAAAAGGGATACAGTAAAACTACGTAGTAAGATGATGAATGTATCAATAGTGGTAAGAACAATAACAGTTATTTATCGTACGTTTTTTTATTTTTCCAATGGGGTCCAATCTTGTCTCTTACATATGAAGGAAGTTATATGGATTAGAGTTAACAATCTTAGTTCATATATTCATAAAAGTGTGCACTACATTTGTACATTTCTTGACTAGAGAAGACCTAAATCTGACCATTTTATTCATTTATATTCAATCCTTTTATACTTTTTTTTAACTACGTATATGTGTAAACTGATTATTCACACAGTCTCGTATTATGTACACTAACAATTACTTTGTAAACTGTCAATTGAATTCACATCAAAGATATATGAACGAAAAATACTCTTTTCAATGAATCCACCTACTCAGGTTGGACAGTTATAAATCTGAATTATCATTATTATTTTAACAAGTTTATTTTTTTCATTTTTTGAAGTATTTATTCAAACTGTGGGTGTGGCCCCCTAAGAAAACCACGTGCTTCGGTTTGGGCACCCGGGCAGTATCACAGCCCTCACACCTATCGAATGAGATTTGTGTGGCGCATATGTATTTGGTTCCTCTTTGTACCATTATCTATGTGTTGAAATAAATAAAAAATATTCAAACTGTTATAAATCTTATCACTACTGCACATACATTTATCATCGCGTTACGTTGTCATAATTTGTAATTTACATTTATTATGATGAATTATGTAATCCTTTTTCATCTTTATCATTAATTCACAAAATGACTTGATTGATTTTGGATTTATCACATATATATAGACATGTGGATATTGATATTGCCATATACTAGAATATGGCTTGATAACAATCTAATCGGAAAAATTAAACAATATTATCAGCCTGTATGTGCTGTTTTAACAGTAAACCCAAATGATCAGTGCTAATTAGATGATCTACGTTTAAAACTGTCATTGCTTTCAAATTCTGAAGAAAAAAAACATCAAAAATCCCCCAAACCAAATGACAATTAATAAAGCAATCCCATCTCCTCATGCACACACACATACATAAATGCAAACGAAGAAAAGGAAAACAAAGACCAATGAAACATACAAAGGAAATAAAAATATTTAAAAGACAAACCACCAGATAAATGTTACAACATACTTATATTTCTAGTTGAATGAATCTTTCCGATAGATAAACAAGTAATGATGTACATAAATTAAAAAACGAAATTTACATATGAAAGTATGCATTATGTATTTATATATACAACACTTATATTCATGAATGAGAAGGGAAACGAAAATAACAGTCAGGTATTGGGAATAAATCATCATAGAAGTGCATGGAAAACAAACCAGAAGACAGAAAATCTTATCTATATTACCATTAAATATTTTATTTTTTCTTTATTTTGAGAACATTTGACTCAAAATCTTACATAAAACAGAATTACTGATAACATACTACAATAAATCAATTTATCAAATCAACAAACCTGGTTTTTTAACGACTGGCATACTTTCTCCAGTAATCAACGACTCATCACATGATGTGGATCCAATTAAAATGACAGAATCAACAGGAACTTTTTCACCCGGAAGAATCTTTTTACATAAATATTAAGTAAAAAAAAACAAGATGTGTGGTGAAATTATGTTAGAAAATAAATTTCACGGAATAATAATAATTTCTCCTACGGAAACGTTTTCTAATCGACATTAATAATGTAGATGGAAAACGTTTTAATTATTGAGTCAAAGTATCAATTTATATTCTACTCTCCAGCTGGGTATCATATCAGTCAGCTACAACGTAGGACCAGGCACAAATATGCATGTGATTGAACTAAGAGGAATGTCAATGAAATTGTCATATAAAGATATATATCAATCAAATACATGATCCATTGTTGTAATGAAACTATAGATTGTCTCACTATATTTTAACAACTTTTATCTTTAAGTAGTTTTCTATAATACAAACGACACAAGATTCAGATCATAAATAAATGGAATGAGATTGACCTTATATACTGGATGAACATGTTGATTTGTAACGATGAATTTTAATACATTTTTTCAAAAAAGATTTAAACGTTTTGTCAGGATTTTAATCACGAAAGAAGTAGAATATGGCGCTGGAACAACTGATATATTTTTTAAAGGAAAGATAACCGATAAATTATACTCATTTAGATATTGAAATTGCCAGTTTGGATGCAATTAGATGATTTGGACTTCGTAGATGAACTGACCCTTCCATACACATGAACAAATGCAGATGAAAACAACTAGTGTAGTAACAGCCTCGACATCAGTAGGCCTCAACATACATAGGAGATAAGGCAAGATCTCCATATACAACAAAGAGAACATAAATCCAATCACGCTCGATGAAGAAGTTCTGAAAGAGGTGAAAACTTTCAAGTGTCTGGGCAGCAACATCAATGAAGAAGGAGGATCTTATGCAGACGCAAATTTGTGGGTTGGTAAAGCAAGAGCCGCATTCATACAGTTGAAGATCATGAGGAACTCAATACAACTGTCAAGCAATGTCGAAGTCACAATCTTCAATACGAACGTAAAGACAGTTCTAGAGTACGGAGCTGAAACATCGAGAACTACCACAGCCATCATCAAAATCGTACAATTATTTGTGAACAATTGTCTACAGATGCATACGTTTGTGTTTACCTAACAACTCATCCAAGAACGTTGTGATAGATGAACTCGGTAGATCTTTAGGGAGAGGGACCAGATTTGGGAAATAAACGTAAACACATTTGACCGGTCTAGATTGTTGATCGTACCGGCTAATAAAAAGGACAGAAATCCTGTGATGATAATCACATTGAAACCTGTTTGACTAACATGGTATCTGAAACTTATCTGGAGCTTAGGAACAACAAAATAGAGACGAGGCAGTTTTTAGATTTAGATGCATTGGTGATGTCATTTTATGTATACATAGCTGATAAAATATCATGTCACTGAAGTAATGAGAACACGCCTCAATAGGATTATACTTATCAAGGTCATAATTTAAAATACATCGGACCACCATCCGTAAAGATGATCAGTGAGACCAGTTAAGCAGTATCACCCGACCGTAGCTGCTACCTTGACGCGGTGGTCGGGTTTGCCTATCGTGATGACCCAACCGAGCTATATTGGCTGGAACATATGTTTCTGTAGGTTCTACCATGCCAGGCAGCTTGATTGGAGAACGGTAAGACTAAAAGCAGCAACTCAAGGTCTGAGGGCGAAGTCGTACTGCTGACTGTAGAGGAGTGTGACAGCAGTAAGGTTTTTCCCTCGGACAACCAGCATGACAGCGATGTTGCCTTCCTACAAGGAGGGGTGGGGTTAGAAAAGGTCGACCCCAAAAATGTCACACCTCACCTTACCTCACAGATTTCCGTCTCCGGCGGTAAGGCCCCTTGAAGAACGGCACTAAAACGTCAAAAATCTCCCACAAAAAGACCGTGTACGACCGGCCAAAAACAGTTGTCCCTTGGGCTCTGTGGTTACGCTTCTAGGTTGTTAAAGCCAACACTAACCCACCTTCCTTTTCAGTTTCCTCAAGAAATACCCTTCCACGGTGTGGGCATCCGGGAAGTGACACCAACCCTCATACCCGTAACAGCACACGAGACCAAGTTGGTCACATTCAAATCCTTCATACACCTCCTAATACCTCTCTTATCTCCCCAACTAACCCTTCTCACGTCCCTTTATCACCTAGCACCGCTAGGGCAAACGATTCGAGTACGTGGAACGTTATTCCTGGTCTCCTGAAACCACGCTCTAAACTACACGTAGGAGCTTTTAACGTCCGAACACTGTGCCAAATAGGACAACAGGCTTCCTTAGCTAGGACTTTAGAATCTCGCGCCATCGATGTGTGCTGCGTCTCCGAAACGCGCATACAGGATTCGAGTAGCGTCATTCATTTGACCTCACCATGCCAAAATAAAGAAACGACTCGATTCACACTTCGTGTATCTGGAAGCCCCGATTCTGCTTCCCGTGGCCTCGCCGGCGTAGGTATAGCATTGAGTCCTAGGGCAGAACTAGCTCTCTTAGACTGGATCCCAGTAGACAGTCGTTTGTGCGCTGTCCGACTGAACGGAACAGTAAGGACTCGGAAAGATAGGGACACTCGTCGTTGCCTCTTCGTCGTCTCTGCCTATTCTCACACTGACTGCAGCTCAGATGATGTAAAAGATGAGTTTTACAGAAAGCTTTCCGACCTTCTCCGAAAAGCTAGGCGTTCGGATGTAGTAATAGTGGCTGGTGACTTTAATGCTCAAGTAGGTAAACTAAGCGATAGGGAAAGACACCTAGGTGGATCTTATAGTGTCGTGGCTCAAAGAACAGATAATGGCGACCGTCTGTTGCAGCTATGCTCAGATAACCGCCTGTTCCTTGCAAATACTAACTTTAAGCATAAGGAAAAACATCTTTTAACATGGCGACCCCCGAATTCGTCCCAACGTTGGACCCAAATAGATCACATCGCTATCAGCCACCGATGGAGGGGCTCGATAGAAGACTGTCGCTCATTCTGGAGCACACATGCTCTAGTGCGAGCGCGTATTTGCTTGCGTCTTACTGGACGTAGGAAAGACGCTGCAAGGAAACCTCTTAGGGCCTACTTAATGATAGTCAAGCTAAGAGTATATTTCAGGAACAACTAGGAAAACAGTTAGGCAGCCATGTATGTGATGCCCACCCCGATGCAGCATGGAATGATATCCGAAAAGCTGTGGAAACAGCAGTGATATCTGCTAGTAAGGTAAACCAGAAGGTTAGGGAGCAACACTGGATCTCAGCAGCATCTATCGCACTGATAGATGCTCGGAAACTCATTCCACCTGGCTCTGAACATAATGAAGAGCGGAGTCAGCTTAAGCGCAAGCTGACAAGAAGTCTACGCAATGATCGCGAACAGTGGTGGGTAGCGAAAGCAAGAGAGATGGAAAAGGCAGCGGCAATAGGTAATAGCAGACAATTGTTCAGACTCGTTAAGGAAACCGGAATTAGGAAACCGACCGTTAGCGAAACAATCTCAGAGAAAGATGGACATATTATTCATTCTCAATCCAGGAGATTGGATCGATGGGCAGAACACTTTAGGGATCAGTTCAACTGGCCTTCAGCCACACTTCGGTTTCCCACGATCTCCAGTCAACCTGAATGGCAAGTTAATGTAGGTCCTCCGTCTCTTTACGAAGTTGAAAAAGCCATAGGAAATCTGAAGCGAGGGAGAGCAGCAGGCCCTGACAGGTTTACTCCTGAGATTTTTAAGGATGGTGGTCCAGTATTAGCAATGAGATTAACTGAGGTCTTAGGTAGAATTTGGGAACTGGACGTAATCCCATCTGACTGGTCTCAATCACTGATTGTGCCAGTCTATAAGAAAGGACAAAAGTCCTCTTGTGACAATCACAGAGGAATCAGTTTGACTAATATAGTGTCTAAAATATTAGCTTCAATAATACTTCGACGCCTAATCAAAGCTCGTGAAGAGCAGACTAGAGAAAACCAGGCTGGTTTTCGACCTGGACGTGGTTGTATAGATCAGATATTCACACTACGTCAGGTTCTAGAACACAGACACACATTCAGACGCCCCACAATGGTAGTATTTCTCGACCTTAAGGCGGCATTCGACTCTGTTGATCGTGAGGTTCTATGGCAGTGTTTGTCACTGAAAGGAGTACCAAAGAAGTACATTAACCTTATAAAGGCTCTCTACTCGAACACAACTGGTAGAGTGAGAGCTTATGGCGAACTGTCATCAGAATTGATTACCTCAAGTGGTGTTCGTCAGGGCTGTCCACTCTCCCCATTCTTGTTCAACTTTGTCATTGACGTACTTTTAGAGATAACACTCTCCTCATCTAAATTTTCAGGGGTTGAACTTCTACCAGGAGGTTCACTTGTTGACTTAGAATATGCTGATGACATAGTTTTATTTGGTGAAGACGCTGACAAAATGCAGAGTCTTCTGACCACTCTAAGCAACAATGCAAGCATGTTCGGGATGCGATTCTCCCCTCGAAATGCAAAATGTTGCTTCAGGATTGGGTTACATCGACACCCGAACTAGTGATAGGGAGTGAAGTAGTTGAGTGTGTCGACCGCTTCACTTATCTTGGAAGTCTCATCAGCCCTTGTGGTCTGGTGTGTGACGAAATCTCAGCACGGATACAGAAGGCTCGACTAGCTTTTGCCAACTTGCGTCATTTATGGCGTAGGCGAGATATCCGTCTATCAACCAAAGGACGTGTTTACTGCGCAGCAGTTCGTTCCGTCCTACTTTATGGCAGTGAAACATGGCCGGTAAGAGTAGAGGATATTCGTAGGTTACTAGTATTTGATCATAGGTGTCTTCGAAATATTGCTCGTATATCATGGGACCATCGAGTAAGTAGTGCAGTTGTTAGGAAACGGGTACTAGGTAAGGATGGCAAATCAATTGATGAAGTAGTGAAACTTCATCAGTTGAGATGGCTGGGACACGTGTTACGTATGCCTAACCGCCGACTGCCCCGACGTGCGATGACATGGCTCAAAATCGTTTGCAATGGCGCGAGTGCATATACTCTTTGCATTCTCTCAAATTCTAATCTTCTGAATTCTTCATGTCCCTTTTTTCCCTCTTTCTAAATTTATTCCACTGTATTATACTCCTTGAATAACATCTTCAAGCCCTAATGTTTCCGATTACTGTTTATACTCTTACTACTTCTACCACTACGGAATTTGACTCGACAACTGCATCTCTGTGCTAGTGTGGTATGGCAACTCGAACTGATGTACGTACGTACGAAGTTCCACGTTGTTACTGACTGGCCTTTCACAATCTCCAATAACAGTAAAAGAGAAGTTTGATAGAGTGAGCTAATAAGACATCCCTGAAGTTTTAAGCACAGGCGATTTGTCGATAAATAGCTTGCACTTATAGGGAATGAGACATTTAGTATTGGTGGCTTTACTATCAAAGTGATAGGCATAGATACGAATCAACGTGCATACGCTCTCAATTCGATTTAGTGAATAAATTTCGTTCTCATCCTCACCATTTTCACTCGAGTAACCACATGGGCTTCTATAGCAGTATCGAAATCGAACACCATACAGCACATCACAAGGTTACATATAATAAAAGCTGAATCCTCATTTTCATATATATTTATCACATTTGATTACTGGACTTTTCATGATAAAAGAATGAATGCAAAAAAGACACATTATAATTACCTTGATGATATCGTTTTGATGAACCAATTCAATTGGGATACGTTTTTCAACCCCACTAGCAAATAAATTTGTCGGTAATTTTTTTGTTTGCTGTTGTAAGGTATCTTCTAATTTCTGTTTTTCTGTCGGTGATAAGTCAATAAGAGTAGCTTCTTTAGCATGTAAGGAGAGTAATTTAGTAAGCGCTTCGGATGTTTTACCCTAATAATTATTAAATAATAATAAGTATCAAACATTGAAAAGATAATATTAGGCGACGAATATTAAAGAAAAATCGTAAATCTCAAAAAATACTATTGGTATGATCTGTCAGTCCGATTTAATGGACTAATAGTGGAGACTCTCTTAATATCTAACTTTTCTACTAATGAGAGAGACAGAGATCACGAGGTGTTGGAAAATGCATCTTCAAAAAATCAAACGAATATGTAGAGATTATGCATATATTTACGTGACGGTAAAGTAGTTTAAATTGAGATATCTGAGAGGTGATGATTTAAGCCAAATGAACGACCTCAATCCTTATCCTGTACACCGAATAGTGGGAAATCAGTGACTTCTGGCTTTTTTTGGTTTTCATAACATAATCTGTGATTTTTGACTATAAATATGTCTGCGAGGTATGCCAATATGAGCCATCTGTAGTACCCTGGTGACGCTAGTATAGTTGCAAAAGGTCGGATCTACAACGCGTCGGTGAGAGCACTTTTGCTCTATGCTTGTGAAAACTGGCATCTCCGAGTTGAGGATGTCAAACGATTCTCTGCGTTATCTCTGACTGATTGCTGACATCCATTGGCGACACCATGTTAGTAATGCAGAGGATCGGCAATGGGTGTTTGGGCACAAAGGTGATAATTCAGTTGGTGTCACTATCTTGAAACATCGACTTCGGCGGCTTGGATATGACCTACGAATGTCACCCCAGAGAATTGCACGTCGTGTATTGTGTCCCAACTCTGAGACTAGTTGGAAAAAGCGGAGAGGTGGTCAGTGTATGATATAATGTCGTGGTACGAAAGAAAGCTGTACAGTGATGGGTTCTATAGGTCCTTCACGACTCCCTAGTTAAGGTTCTAGAGATAGTTATAAGAAATGGTTCAGAAAAGAAACCAGTGGCGATCCTGCTGTAACTTTTTTTACTCGTTACATAAAAGTGAATGTAACTTCTTTAACTGACCGCATTCTTTCTGGTTGTATTTTTCCTAACTGGACTGCTTCCCCTATTATTTTATTATTACTATTTCACTTTCACACTAATTTCTATTGATTGTTGTTCCTTTTCATTATGCTCACTTTACTTTTCCTACTTCTTCATAAACTTGGTGAACTCTTGTACCAATGTTTATATGTTCAAATAAAGGAATATGGGCTCAACACAACAGAAAACAAAGATTTTTTATCATATGAATATGAGTGACCTTGGATTTTTAAAAATTCAAAAACGATTTTACGCTTAATGAACATTTGCATGTTTGATCAACTAGATCAACAGACAAGATCCTTCTCATGTCGAATTCTAAAATTTTTTTGAAAAGAAGCTGGCTGTTTTAATATATTTTAAGCATAATTCATAAATCTTATGAGTGCTTTCATTTATTTAAACACATAAACATTGATACAAGGCGGAAACGAATATATATGTGAGCCACACTTCATCATTCAATTTGTGTGAGGGCTGGAGTATTGCCTGGATGGTCAAATAGAAGCAGGAGGTTTTTTCAGGGGATTTTTAAGGATCGTTGTTGAGACTTTTAACCTACTACCATAACTTTATGTTTCAATCTCGAATCTACATCTATAAACTTTAGTTGAATGGTAGCATGACTATTCCCTTACACATACATACAGTATAGTTCAAAGCTGAGTTAATGAACAAATAAGCTTGATAAATGGGTTAAGCTTGTGACTAACCCCACTATGGCAGATTTAAAAGAAAACCTACACATATTGAAGTATAGTAAAAGCATGTCAATATTGATAGATAGATAGATAACTCAAAGAGTTGAGAAATGTACTCCGACAAAACGATAATAATTTTTTTAAATGCACATTTATGGTTCAAAAAATTTGATTAAAATGAATAAATCATACAGGTAAAAAAAGGAAGCAATGTTTTACCTTCGCAATATGCTCTAACCAACGACCTAATGAAACAAACACGAGTAACATTGGTGATGTTTCAAATACAGTACGTGGACTATGCTGCCAGCGATTCAATATTGCAATTAATAAAATAACAACAGAATATAAATATGAAATCGTCGTAGCTATTACAATTAAAACATCCATATTTGCTATACCATGTGTTAATGATTTGTATGCATGAATATAAAAATAGCGACCACCAAATATCTGGAGTAAAAAACGAAACAGAAAAAGATAATATAATAATACCACCAATAATGACCATGCGAAATCACTTAGTCGAATAAGGCATCTAAAATTATTATACTCATTTAGAGATGTAATGATAAAAAGTTTAACTTTGTATTGAGTTGTGGGTGAGTACAACTGTGGTAAAACACTTATCAAATGTTTCATGGTTTAAAATGAATCCTGAGTTCAAGACAGATAAATTGTGCTGTAAACTATCTTTAAAATGAACAAACTTCAAAAAAAGTCATATCTTATTATTAAGAAATACAATGATGTGAGCGAAGATAGGGTTATCCGTCAGATTCAATGTCCAATAAATATGATGTGTATTCAACAATTTCACAGTCAGTTTTCAATTCATTTAGTGGATGACTGAAACATATTAGAATGTAATTTTCATTAAAAATTTTGTTCCCCAGTCTAACTTTCATTATATTTGCATTTATCATTCAGCATAATGGGCTGCGCTACACTGAACTTATTTATGACCAAGAGTTGAAATAAAGTCCTAAGTGAAAATGCCACTATAAAATATCCATCACTTACTCATTCAATAAACGAAAAAAATAATGATAGAAATCGGTGAATACAACACATTTGTTGAGAAGTGAAAACATTAATGTAAAATTCTGCTTTAATGAATAGTATAACCGTTTTAAAATGGTCGCGATTAAAATTGAATAATTAAACGTTAACTAATCATTGTAGATTAGAGAGATAGAGAAAAAAACACTGACACAGTTCACTGTTTTATTACAATTTTAAATATATCACTGATCACTAGCGTTACAATTTGATTAAGTAAATTAAACATTGGAATACAACTAGATTATTCATTGATGAAGAGAAAATAAACACTGACTACATAGAGAAATGGATAATCGAAATAAATCAGGGAATAATTTATGAAAAATATTTTTCTATAAATTACAATTTAACCTGATTATTCATGGAAATAAAATGAAACAATGTGATTTATAGTTTCCGTGGAATAGGTCAACGTAAAATAAATATAGTGGTACATCAAGTTAAGTCTGTTTACATTATTATTATTATTATTATTACTATATTGAATAAAGAACAGGTACAAGTATTAAACAACATCTGACCTAATGTATAAATTGTATATCGTCAATTTAAGCTGCTATAAATTACACAGAGAAAAGAACCCGTAACCAAAATACATAAAAACAGTATTATAAAATTGACATAGGGTGAACGACCAGACAAATAAAGTCAATACATTGTTGTATAAGTCTAATTTATTTTATTCTTATTCTATATACTATAAGAAATTACCGTTATTCTATCTATACGATAAATTCAATCAGTGTGATTAATGATCAGATACGCGTAAAACTGATCAATCAAAATAAGAGGGATTTTAAGGAATAAATATTTATTGAAATCACGAACTGTTCAATGTGAGACCACTACTGAAAACTTGAAAGCATAGGATGGTAGTTTCGATTTGGAGTAGGATTCGTCAACAATACAAACCCATGTGCAACTAGAACCCAGGACCTAACGTCTAGACCATTGAGTAGACGCTCATTTAACGTTTTTGAGGTTCAGCTTCAGTCATTCCATAGTCTTCGGTAAGTAACTGTATCACATCCAACATGGTTTGACTTCACTATTCGCGGTTTCTCACTAGATCTCCGGGAATTTCCTCTCGAAGCCAGTCGCCAGCGAGCAAATGATAACTATCGATAAGAGTTTGCAAAGATTGCTGAATTATATTGAAATCATGAAATCATAACAGCTCACTAGTCTAAACCAACGATATTAGGTTCACTTTCCGCCAGTAAAACGTGGATTTATCATTGTTAAGAAGCACCACATTAAAATGAGATGGTCATCCAATGTTTCCAGGCTTCAATACTGGTCTAATTTAGATCGGTTCATGATTTCAATAAACTTTCGCAATCTGCGCAACTCAATAATGTTCCTATCCTGAATTTGTTGTTCGTGGACTATATGAATATACACGTTCAAGGTTAAGAAATGATACAAACATACAGAACCATGATATTATACTATTTTTTATACAATGCACCGTGTAAGGTTTTGAACAAATGTCTATTACCAACTAGCTGCTGGTGTTTGAAATGTAGTCACTGAATAGTTAAAGTTTTCAGAAGCTAATTATTATTTCACAATGACAAATCTCAAACAAAATTAAAAAAAGATTGAAGGTCCTGGGTTTGATTTCCATATGCAGAGTCGTGGATGTACATTATCGAGGAGCCCCACAATAGAAAAAACGGCCGTCCAGCACATTCAAATCTCAATAGTTGTCAAACCTAAATCAGTTCAACAATCTCCCCAATTCTATACCGTAAACTAAAAGCATTAAATAAATCATAAAGTGGGAGCTATTGTTATGTAGAAATGTTGCATAGAATTGCCAAATATAAATATAAAACTTTCATTTAGCCTTTGGACTAATTAGAATCTAACGGTACTGTACGTTACATATGGTATTGTGAGTGTGTGAGCACAGATGAAAAGCCAAAAAGCAATTGATTAGGTTTCTCTTTTCTCAAAGAAGTAAACTAAAACTAACGTTAGCAGTGAATGGTGAAGGTTACACTCATTAAACTATGCAAAATCGTTAAGGACCAGCTTACTGATATTACGAACGGTGCTGACTAAGATTATTTAGTCGATATTAAAGTAATTAACGCTGTTCATAAAATCTATCTCTATACTGCTAATCGTCACACGTTAACATTATAGATTAAAATTCTGTGATTGATTATGTCATGAATGACCACCACAATTATCACTGTGAAGTGAATACGTAAACAGGTTAGGAATGAAACAATAGCTTTCTAAGTATTTTAATTGTCACTAAATATATTTAAAACATTACTGATACATTAGTAAAAACAATGAATGTATACAGTTCAGGTGATATACAAAAGATTTTACGCAACAGGGTTAAAGATGTATATATAACTGTAGTAATCTAGAAGTGTTGCATTTTGTTTTATAACTTGAATTCTTACTTTTAGTGCGAGGATAACCATTTTTTCCTAATGCTCAATAAAAGTGTAATATCTAACATTTCCGAGCTTTTTTCTGTTTGCCTAGGGAGTGAATTCTGAATATGAAGGCATAATTTTTACTGGTGATCTCATTTCAATCAGTTAAATCCATCTACATGTATTTCCTATGAACCTCCCAATGTAACGCATTCCAACTTACCAGATGAGAGAAGTAAACAAAATGAAAGAGGTTGAAACGGTATCCTCAGTGAAAATTACAGTCTTGTAAACAGCAGTCACTCACTAACTGAACAGGAAAGCGTCTGAGAATGCTCTATTGTACACATTTATTAAGTATTGAAAAAATAGGTGCGCTACACAGTCATAGGTCACTATCCTATAGCTTAATTTTATACCCAAGAGGTTCACTCATGCGGTGATAACGCATAACAATTGCTATGACCTTTGCTTTTCTCTTATTAGATGTTTCATCCATTAATATTATCATCTGTTTTGTATTTTAAGAGATCACTGACAGAAAATTAGTAGTAGTGTGGTGTGTGTTATTGATGTCGACAGATATAAGTATTATGCACCACCACCTGAAAGTGGAATGCCTAGTGGCAAAAGGCTGAGAATATCGAAGAGAAGAGAAAGCGAACAGAGAGTGATTGATATGGAAACAAAGAAACAACAAAGTCTGAGAAAATTGACGGATATTTTGCAAATGGAGTATTTATTATATGGTTCCCGGATTCTACCATATATTCTATAATGTTTCATTAAAATACATCTAGTTGTCCCCCACTGATGTTCTCGTTCACCACAGTAGTATCATATAGAGACAGTGAAATATTGTTTTACGAAATACTAGTCCATTATTTCTTATCATGAATCTAAGGTAAATATGATTGAAGTGCCTATGGTTGTATACCATTAAAATATGCTAGGATTCTGTAAAAAATTGTAGATTTAAGATTTGATCGTTTACTGTTCAACTGAGAAATACTATGAGATTTAATGAAATGTATATGCATCTATGTTGTACACGCTTAATCGAGATATAGGCGCTGTTTAAAATGAATTTAAGAAATTTCATTCATTATCTACAAAATAAGCTGGAAAAAAAGAATGAATTGATACACTCTCTATATATAATTTTAATAAGAGATAAATATGATTATTTTTCTAGATGTACTCATAATCTTTAAAAGACGACTTAATATATCACATAAAGAGATTAGTAAATCGATACCTTCAATCAAGAAAATATAAAATTGTAGAGAAATGAACATTTCTCATTTATTTATTGATTAGAATTAGTGAGTTAGTTACTAATTATTTCCAATATATACAAGTTGTACTTTCCTTTCAGATACATCTTTGTAATAATAATATTCATGGCATTTATACAATCTTAAAGAAACCTTTGGTACTTTGAGATTTCGAGCCCTTTAGGTTAGCATCACATTAAGAGCCCTCTAAGTTAACCTATTGCAATCATCAGTGATCTCCGTTATGTTTAGGTTTTTCTGACGACTTGATTCAAATATGTAAAATGAAGCTGAATTATTCTATTACGTTGAATAAAACTTAGTTACAGTTGTCTTTCTTCATTGACAGACTTTGGTGAGGAATCAGAAAAAATAATTGGTTATGATGATAAAATGAGTGTAATCGACTACTAAATTAAATTATCAGGCTCTACAGTTACAGGTCCATAATTATGATATTTTACAAAGGCCAAAATAAGGCATGTACTAATGAATTTGACAATGTTGTATGTTGAAAATGGTGAACGTTTTCATCTGTTACGACATGAATACCTCAAAATTGTGTTATTTGCAAATTAGAAAGGTCATTTAATAAAGGTCAGAATGATTTGGAGTAGTGTCCGGTCATAATCAGTAGAATAGTATAATATGGCAAAATTGAAAATGCAAAAATCGTGTGAAAAAATGCATAGTAGGAGAATTTCATCTTGTCAATTAAGATAATAATGATAATAGCAATGGCAATAATATTGTTGCTCTCTCAAATATTCTTCATTTTTGAATATTCTATGGGAATTTTTTAAACTGTTGAATTAAATTAATGAATGTATTGAGCATTAGATAAGGGAAATAAAATTATACCATTAATCATTAGATATAGTCTAAGATAATTGAAAGGAATCAGCAAGAAACTTTGAATGAAATGTTTTAGCATACTAGTAACATTGTTGAGGAAACCTATATTTCACATTCATTTAGCCTTCAAGTAATAGACGTTACTATTAGGAATAAAGCACAACAATTGCTGGTGAACAAGGTGATCTCCAGTGCTTTTAGAGGTATATAGGCGACTGTCACTTCCCAATTTCCCACAGAGAAATAGGATACCTCTTTCCGGTGTATTGGAAATGGAAACGGGATTATCACGGATATTGACGAACTAAGAGTGAGGGCGCAGAGCCAAACGGATAAGTGCTTAAAGTTGGTTACATGCGATTATTTTGGTGGTTTTTGATGTGTTAGCTCTGTGTTTCAAAAGGCTTTACTTCAGGAAATGGAACTCCGTAGGGTAAAGTGAGATGTGATACTTTTAGGGTCGACCTTTTCTAAACCCGTTACGAGAAGGCAGCATTATTGCAAATACTCGTTTTTCGACGGAAACATCTTATTACCAACACAACCCAGTACAGTCAGTAGTACGACTTTGCCTTCATATCTTAAGTTCTTGCCTTTCATCTTACTGTTCTCCAGCTGACCTGTTTAAGTTTAACATTGCAGGGTCCAAAGGAAGCGTTACAGTGATTAAAGCTCAAATTAGTCATCATGATAACCAAACCCAACCATCATAGAGTAACAGCCACGATCGAGTTGATCAACTGGTTGACAATAATTTACAAGTTTATATTGTTTACCTTAAATAGAAATGGTGACTAGCATAAGAACAGATTGAAAGAATGCTAGGGGTGACCCAAAACATGGTATAAGGTCTGAGCCATGTTAGGAGTAGTAAACCTCTTCGTTCAGATCGAGAGGATTGCAATGTATGATTAGGCACCATAGCTGATAAATGTTTTAAAAACGGTGGGAGTGGTTTAGTAAAGTTTTTAGTGTCCCTCTTTTTCTTTGTGGCTATTGTGATATGATAGATGGCTACTTGACCGATACATATGAGTCAGGTTCTGAGCTATTTATAAGACAAGATTTTAGATGAAAAAAAAGACATATCGATGGTAACAAAGTTCACCTACCTGTATTGGTGTAGCTAATAAGAACATTAACATATTTTCAACTGACAATCCAGGTATTATCATAGGCGTAGTAAAATAGTGTATTGTATGTTCGTTTGTAATATTTGAATTATTTAGAACATTCTGTTGTTGTTGACCATTAATTGATATTTCACGAAAATGTACTGGACAACTTTCTGGTACATAATGTGGCCATAATAACATGAAAATAATCATAATCATCATTGTTGGAACAGCAAAAACTAAACTGAAATAAAATGAACTACGCCATCTAGACAATTTTAGTTATGTATGTTTTTATAATAATAAAAATAAATAAATAAATAATCATATTAGACGTTAATTAATAAGAAATTTATTTTATAAGATTATATACATAAATACATCGTGATATTTTGTTATCTAAACAGATACGAAGATAGATTTATTTTTCAGAAGAGAGAGGAGACATGTCGAATAATTCTCGATAAGTTAAATCATGCTGAAAGATTACATGGACCTTATTTTATCACCAAGCCAATTAGCAAATAAAAAGTGTAGAATCCATCTGTTGATGCATCTTGATCCTTTTTTCTCCTACCCAAATACTGGGCTAGTCAGGGATTCAAAAAGCATAGAATAATCACCAAATAGAACTAGCAGATTGTGACATGACTCCTGTTATAAGTGTTGCATGGCCACACAATATTGTGGATTAGTTGAACTTAGAAATTAACACCGTTTGATGCCCACTCAGTGGTCTAGCGGTTAGTCGTTTGGGTGTGAGATCGAAGGTCCTAGATCCTGGATGGACACTGCTGAGGAGTTGCAGACTAGGACGGAACAGCCGTCCAGTGTTTCCAGGTTTTTAATGGTGGTCTAACATGATTCTCCATGAGACTCAACAACCTTCACAACCCTATAATTACAACTGTTAAGTAATTAAGTAATCTTTAGCTGGGGAGTTTGATAAATCAATTTAATTTTGGGAACTATGGAGCACTGAATAGTTATTTTATCCTCACTCACAGATGGACAGCAGTTTCAATCAACGAACTTTTTAACCAGGATTGAATTCTTGTCCTTCAAGTCTTGTGGTAGCTGATCCTGTGAGATTTATAGTTTATAGTTTAAGATACTACCACTGAGTTACCCAGGTCGCGACTTTCTGTAGGAATGAAATATATTTATGATTCACTGATTACTAAGTTGTGAACAACGTCATGTTTGTCTAGTTCCTTTAGTGTGATAGAATTCTATAGATTATGTGTGCAATATAACGACTAGCCTAATTTGCTCAACACCATGTGTACTAAATGTTGAGTATTTTACTCACCTTACTTCAATTGACTGGGCCGATCATATCTCCTTAGATATAAATTATTTTCTGATGATTATATTCTAGTACCATTGAGTGACATTTCGAAGAAATGTTGAAATAAATAATATCTACATTGAATATTAATTTCTAGACTTAAACTCAGATTCTTTCAAAAATTAATTAACGCGTAGTTAGTATGTACTAGAAACACTTATTGTGTAAACGCTGGAGACAAGGAGAGAGGGAGAGACATTGCTCGACATTGTGGCAAAATCAGCTGGAACAAATTTTAAATTTGGAAAAATCCCTACAATAAAATAATTAGCATTAAAGTTGAGATATGAAGAAAGTATGTCGCGTATATTTCCACGTGACAACAACACCAAAAAAAAATCAATGACTAACCACATTAAATATATATATATATATATATATATATATATATATATATATATATATATATATATATGACATACCTAAGTAAAGAACTTGATTCATGCACATTCTGTTCAGGTCGACATAAAACTGGTTGATAACCTAAATTCTAAAAATAAAAAAGAAACTGGGGGTCATAACAGAATACGGAAAAATCACAACACACATACTCATTATACATCAATATAATTAGTTGTTTTATTTTATTATTAGTAAATGCAATATTTGTTGAACGATTCTAGTGAAGATAAACTGATTTGTAGGAGGTCAATGGATGATGACTACCGTTTACAAACTAAACCAATCTCCAGAAGAACACCATCTAAACTATAATAATCAGTTAACTAGGGATTTATTTGTAGATAAGTCCCTGCAATTTTAGTGAGTAGTTGAGACCGGAATAGTTCGATCACAAGGTACCATGAGACTGTATCTTCTGACGTTGGTTAACTGTCTTGTGGATTAGACTTGTAGATTAAAGACTCAAGTTGTCTCCTGAGAAAACCGAAGCTTCGCTTTGAGTGTCCATCCAATATCCCACACCAAACACATGATATAACAAAAAAATTATGGTCGTATATTGACCTAATGTGCATCATTAATTCGCTGAAATCATGAACCGATCGATGTTAGACCACCATTAAAAACCTGGAAGCACTGAACGGCTGTTTAATCCTAACATGGGACTCCTCAGAAGTGAGTATTCAGGATCCCGCGCGCGGGGTTTCAGCCCAGGACGGGGTCGCAGATGCACACTGCTGAGGAGTCCATACTAGGACGAAACACCCGTCTAGTGCCCCCAGGTTTTCAACGGTGGTCTAATATCGATCGGTTCATGACCTAAATGAAATCCAACAATCTCCATAATCCCAAACTGAAAATTATTAATTTGATCAATTTAAACCAACGAGTAGGTGTATATGTAAGTATAACCATCAAGTCATAGCCAATACCAACTGAAAAAAGGTTCTGGTAACCTGTCACAAATAGTAGATGGATTGGCAGGAATTGAACCATTAAGGATTGTATGTCAAGACTAATGAGGGAACATTTCACAATCATTAAGGATACTGTACAATCCAACTAACAAATTTTTTACATAAAACTGAATTGATACATTGGCAAAAAAATTTTTTGTACCAAACTAATGCGGTCATAATACTAAGTTTAGATTGGATATAAACTTTGTTTTAAGAAAAAATAAATATAAACCATACAAAAAAGGAATTCAAATAACTGATTAAAGTGTTTCATTTTAAAATTACTATATTGAAATATAGATGATATACAACTGAGTCAAAATTCTAGAAATTACATACACACATACATATTGATAGAGAGAATTCAGAACATTTAAACTCATTATATTATCTACAATCTAATGACAATTGATGAAACATTACAGTAAATACACACAGAAAAAAACATACTTCAATTTGTTTTATCAGATCACGAGGTCCAATTTCATTCAGATTGTATACAATACGAAGACATTTTGTTTTTAAGTCTAACGAAGCACTATATACACCTTTAATGTTGTTTAGTGTATATTCAATTGTTGTACATTCAGAAGGAGTAGCTGATAGTTCATGGATCTGAAAATAATTATAGGGAATTAAGATGGATATGAAAGAGAGAGAGAGAGAGAGAGAGAAAGAGAAATACACCTATCCAAATACGTTGATAAAACTATATTTCAGACATACTCAACAATTACATTCCGCTTTGGGACAAATATGTCAAAACATCATAGTTCTTTGAAAAAAATTGTTAGCCCACACAGAAAATATTACTGGTTGGTAATTTCGACGTACATTACACACAAGAGGACAACACAATGTCGAAAATTTCTTGAAATCGACGTTACCTCACTGATACATAAATTAGTGTGTTTGTGTGTTATAAAATCCAATAATTCTAATTATTTTATAAACTCATTTATGAGGTACAAATTCATGTACTCGGTTTTGAACCACATTCCAAGTGTAAGGGCTGGTAATATTACCTGGTCTCCCAAGCCGAAGTAGGTTTAGTGGGGTTCAAACCTGCAACTTATCAGTTGAAAGTCGAACCCCCTCCTAGTCAATAAACCACTGTTCCACTTGTCATTTCTTTTAAAAGATTAGATCAAGTTATAACTTGTGATTGGGTGTCATTCATCGACATTATTTTCACTTTCACTTATTAATAAACTAAACAGATGATAGGTGATGTAGATTCTAGCCATTTGATGACGTATAGTAATTTTCGTACATGACTTTATAATACGTGAAAGTTGTAGTTCTCAATCCTAACGTAAACTAAAGTGGATCATTTCGTGATAAACTTATCCTTTGACAGTAGGGTAAACATCTTGTCAACAAAAGTGAGACAAACTTTCTATAACTCTGTGAAGTCTCCACAGTTACAGACTCACCAGGAATAATCATATATTCTAGTATAGATGACAGTGATATTTGATCTACGTGGTACTAGTTGATAATGAATCTGCGGGTAGTAGATCAATGGCTTAAAAGTCGAAGAAAGCATAATTTACAATCCAACTACAAGTAAGCTGTGTAAAATAAACAGCTAACACAGCCGACGAACACCACTAAACACAGTTACTTAGAATAATAGCTCATTTCAATCATATACAAATAAAGAGCTTCTTGTTAAGCGACGCATGTTTTTGTCATGACAGTTAGTGGCTGTTGATCGACAGGGTAGCATAATGTCTCTAGGTCAAATATGGCAACAAGCGAACGCTAATAAGTATGTCCATGTGTCAAAACCTGAACAAAAAGATAGCTATTGATCGACATAACCATGGTTTTGTGGAATAACTAGACAGTTTTCGAGCTTTTTCTATTTCTTGATGATTGGGGAAAGGCGTACCAGTCAAACTGACTACTTTGAGTTTATCATAGTTCCTAAACTCTACTTAAAATTATTGTTAGTCAATTCAACTGATAGTTTTGATATGATTACATTTACATTACACATATATTTTATACATATTAGTCCATACTAACCGTGAAATGAATGGTTCCCCGTCCAGTATTTCCATGTAAATTATCATGTTGTTCTAATAATGTTGCAGAAAAACCTAATTCTTCGATTTTTTAATTAATTGTTTAACAGTGATTAAAGTAGGTTCATAGACGATTTCTGCTTTCATAGCAATTAATGCAACCAAAGCAGAGTGAACACCTGGGAAGTTACAGCAGAAAAGAGAGAAAAAACAAACAAAAAATAAACACACGGTATGAAAACTAGTGTTATTCACGAAATTCAATAGAACAACATGTAAATCTATCGATATTTGGATCAATTTCATTCTTTTTTCTATATAAACGTAATTAAAAGAAAATATTTCACCCAAGTTGCTGAAGTTGATGTGTAAGTTAAAGTTTTCCAAAAGGAATGGAACACTATAAGGTAGATAAATTTGAAGCGACTCTTCCAACATTTCAGAAGTCTACACAAACTTCAAAAATCATTGAATAATAATGGAGAGAGCGAAAAAAAAGAACAGATGATTAAGTTCAAGTGTCCGTTTATTTTACAAGGAGGAAAAGTAAATACATTAAGAAGTTAAAAATTGTGCTCGATTATGCGAAATTAAAGAGGTAAAACACTGAGTGCGAAAATTTTATACAAACTAATTTTTAAAGTAAAGTTTCAATCTGAGATACTAGTTTTCTTAATTTTACTATTTCATACATTAGTGCTTAAAAGTTTATTTATTATTTATTTAAACTCATGAACCTTAGTACAAAGAGGCACCAAATATATATGCACCACACATATCATTTGATTTATGTGAGGGCTGGAATATTACCCGGGAGGTTTTCTTAGGGAGCGCCGCTCCCCTGTTTAAAAGTATTGATAGTTGAAAAGTTTGACAACAAAACTGTGATATAAAGAATACAGAAGTCATACATCAATGTTACTAGAGAATTGATATGAGCAATAACAAATGAAGAAATGGACTTGGCATCTGTGCACACGATATTCAAGGATTAGTGGTTCCCGTTTGAAAACAACATGATTTTATATATTTTATTGTCTGATAGTAAACTTTTAACCAGTCAAAATATAACTAATTCATGTACCAAATGGTTGGCTGTTCAATGTTAAGAAAAAATAAATAAATAGTTTAGAAGATTCCGTTTTGTGATATTTTTTGTCTACCATTGAAATGTCTAGTTCAAACATTCTGAAAACTATTATTATTATTATTATGTGTTGTAGGCAATGTTGAGTTTGAAATTTCATATAATGGACTGATTTCAGTCACCTTTGAAAACCAGGAGGTACTGGATAGCGGTTTCATGATAATATTAGGTTACTCGGTAATAAGACACCACCAGAGAATGAACGCGGAGCCTTCAGGTTTCGCTTTGAGCACTCGACATTGAAACCACTGAGCTAGTATCCGAATGTTTAGATTTCTAACTTCAATCGATTCTGGATATTGTGTAACTATCATCAATTGTCATTGCTTAGACTTGTTGTACGTTCAACATGGTTGAAAGTTAACACTATTTTCAAGTCACACTTATATACATGGTGTAGTGTTTTAGTTAAACAAGAGGTAACGACTAATTTATTCATATAAAGTGCAAAAATTAAGTTTGAAGTACTAAGTAAAACGAATTTCCTATGATTGATATTGTTCGTATTTTCTTAATTCATGAAGAGAATGAAACGTGAGTGACAGTACAAGTTGAATAAGATAGCATATTATTATATACAACTAAATCGCAATTCCTTTGTTTTGCCTTAAGCAAGTTTAAATGTTAACTGGAAAAACAAAATAACACTTTAAAAAAAGAAATATTAAAACGTTCTAACCTTTTAATTTTAATAAATTCTGTTCAATATTATGTACACATGAACTACAAGTCATTCCTGTAACATGTAAATAACATTTCTTATGATGTACATTTAAATTTATTTCATTAGTTTGATATGATAAGGATGTTGATACATGACCATCAGAGTTGGATAACGTAGTAGTGGTAGTAGTAGGATTTGTGCACAAATTTTTTTTAGATAATAGTAATGATGATGACGATGAATATGGAATGGTGTTAGGTAGATAATCGTTTAATGGAACTTCAGATAAATAATTTACTCTAGTTGAAAGTTGTAGTTGATCTAAGTATAAAAAAACATCATTAAGTATAAATGAGGACAATGGATTACTTCAATTCTGTCATATTTTATGCAATACTATAAAGATAGAAAACTAATAAGGCGGGGATGGGAAAGTTGAAATACTAAAAAGAATTCACTAAAACTAAGTATGCCAAGATGCGTATGATAGTTTATTTAAGTACGTATTATTAATTTCTACCATTTTGTACAGTTTACTTAACCAGAGGATTCTACAGTTTTGTTACATGACTTACATTGATTATATAGCGGCAACCTAATGAAATGGTGTCATGAATTAGTTTGACCACTACCACAAGGCTTCGTTCATTGCACTGTCAATGTAAGAATGAATGTTCAGCGTGAAATAATGAAAATGGTTTTAAAAAGGCAGATCCCTACAATTATCCTATTGATTTGGACAGTACACCAAACAAGTGATGTATTGCGTAATCAAACTCTTTTAATAATTAGGCTAAAAGTTAATATAAAAGGTGATTTTTTTAGGTGAGTTGCAATTTCCAGATAAGGCTTCTGATCCCTCTTTTCCTTCCCTCAAAACTTCATGTCAAAATAAAGTATATGTAGTCAAACATAAAGTGAAATTATACTTGACAACCGATCCTTACCATTTTTATCAATCAAACAACGTATGTATGTGATTGCTGTGACTACTAAGCGTAACAGTGATGTTAACGAAGAACTGTTCAAGATAAAATCAACCAGCATTTCAGATCGAAGTGGATGAAGTGCACTTGATACTGCCTTCATATTATAACAGTTAACAATACAATGCAATACTATGCACATGTTCGTGTACACGGCTTGTACTTACACTCTTAAAGTGAAGGCTATTGATACGGTATAACGGTATATTTTATTAAACGTTTTACAATCGATATCTTCAGAACTGTTTAAATTTAGTCTCATCACTGAGAAAGTAAGCAATACAAAAACACTCTACTCATTTCTTGTATTTTTATTTACAAGTGAATTTGGTATTACTTTATTTTGGGTTGTGCTCTTGTTGAAACAAACGGATCAAGGTTAAACGGAAGCATTTTCCTAATAAGTTCATGCTTTATTCGTACCATTTTGATCAGAAGGAAGAATGTCCACATTTGCTGAATTACTTGTAACAGATGATGTTTGAAACCCAAGCTTTTGTACTTCTAAATGAATTTTATCAACATTAATCTCCAATAGATCTGAAGTGATGTGAACCAAATCATCCTGGGTTAACGCTTGTACCTTTGAATTCTTCGCCAGTGTGAATTTGCCCTCTTTATCTGATAGTGAAACAGAACAATTCTTTATATTGTACAGTTGCTTAACTGATTCTTCCTTGAAATACGATTCAATTTTTCGTACACATGAATGGCAGTGCATTCCGTATATGGAAACAGTGATTTCGTAACTATCCAGCTGGGGCATCATTCATAAGAAAAAACAGATGAAACGAAAGATAACTAATTTGCCAAGGTGGATTTAGAGTATTAGTTATTATAAGTGAACAAAACTTTTAAAAAATCACAATCTTGGTCAACGACAAAGATCTACTATACATTCTGTGAATGAAATGATCAACTAATGCATTGTGATTTTTAAAATTCACCTATTCGGCACATACTTGTTCGAATCCTAAAACTGTCTTCAACACAACTTGCTAGACAACAAAAATAAGAGACAAGTATTCCATTAATCATCTTTAAAGAAGCGTATTAAGGCTAGATTATACATTGAATGAGATTGGAAATTAATTAGTTGCATTAACTTACAAACTCTGATTGTAGAAATAAAAACTTAGGTTTCCATTTTATGTAGCCGCAACTTATGAGGCTTATCATATTTGTTTACTCAACAATTTATTTCAATGAGCAGTTAATGGTCATAGACTCGTCAGAATATTTGTAACTAGCTCTTAATTTCCCAATGTTTAAATAAACCTTCGTGAGAATATCCGATAAAACAGGATTTTTCAAAGTACTCTTTCTCTATAAAAAGATCATATGAAGTCACTGGATGATCTAGTATGCTAAAAATACATTGAAGTGGAGTGCTTTCTCTACGTCTTCAAACCCACAAAACTTTATACGAAAATAAATCCTAGTCTTCTGGGTTCTTTATGTTCCTATTTTCCTCTTTCCAAATTTATTTCACTGGATTATACTCCTCGAATATCATCTTCAAACCCTAATCTTTTCGAATACTCCTTATACTCTTACTCCTCTAACACTACGGAATTTGAATCGAAAACTGCATCTCTGTGCTAATGTGGTGTGGCAACTCAAACTGATGTACGTACGTATGTTGCTACTGACTGACTGAAATATAGTATGTTTATTGACGTAGTGTAATCATTAGCCAGATAGCAAGCAATAAATAATTAGTCATTAGTGGTTTTCAGACCTCAAAATATTGAGAATAGTTCTTATAAAGAACTAGAATCAAACGGAAAGTCATCATATACAAAGAAATTAATATGGAACTTATATTATTCAACTAAGTACACTACCCTATGATGTTTTCACAAGCTATAGGTAAACCACTTACCACTAACAAGAACGTTTAACTCATCATATTAGGGTAATTTTAACTTGAATGACAAACAGGTCGTTGAACACTCATCTGGATGAGTAGGAATGAAATAAAGATCATAAGATGTCGCTTTTGTGGGTAGAACAATAACCTAACGCAACTGTTCAGTCAATTTAAAATATTCAGACGGTTACAAATCTTCCGAGATTTTACATCACAGACTAAGATCGACCGAAGAATCATTTAAAATTAGGGGGCATTAGACAACCGTTTTGTTTTAGTTATGAACATCCACAATCTCGCCAATGGTCTTTAAGCATTCAGGTTTGGTGGTGTGAAACTAAGCATTGGATAATTCTTCACAACTCCAATATTTTAATGGTTATAATTGGCAAAGTAATATTCGACTATATGAAAACGATACAACAATAGTAATCAACTTACTTTACTTGTATAGTCTCTAGAAGGGTGATCATTTGTCGCATTTTGATCACCATGGTTAGAAACGCTATACACTTCAGAATTATTTGTAACTGAATTAATTAATTTTATTCGAGCAGCTGGATATTGTTTAGAAGTTAAAAAGTCAGAAATTTGTTTCATTAAATCAACTGTAACTAGCCGAGCACCTTTATTTGAAGAGTCACAAGGAATAGGAGATAAAATATTGATAGTTAACAACATTCCATTCTGAGACGAAGCCAAAACGTGCAAATCACAGTTTGAAAGATTCATGGAATCAAGATATGCTTGAAGTAGTTCATGTAATTTAATAGTATTAATTACTCCGTCAACTTTGACAATCAAAAGATTTTGATGAAAACTTTGCAAATTCGCTTTGTTAGATAGATGAATAGTTGACAGACATTCAGATTTTATTGATGATGGAATTCTACTGTTATTTGAAGTTGAAATGTTTGTGCACATAGAAACTGTTTGAGGTTTCGTAATAGCCTTAAATCCTGCCTTGCTGATACAATCTATCAAATCTAGAAGGTAACATTAAATGAAGGTAAATACATATGTTTAACATAAAGAATATATTAGATCACCAGTGAAGACCTGGAAGCACAGGATGGTCGTTTCGCTCTAGTATGGGACTGCTCGGCAGTGCACATCCACGATCCAGCACTCGGGACTCGAAGTCCGAGCCTTCGGTTAACCTCTAGATCACTGAGCGGGCACCCAACAGTATTAATGTCTAACTTCAACCAATCCACGATATTGTGCGATCATCACTGTCTTAAGTGAATAACTGCCTCACACCTGACACAGCAGAACTCCCGTGATCACAGTTTTACACAAGGACTCCGAGAATCACCTCTCGAAGCTAGTCACTAGTGAGCCCATGATACTTGTAAAGGGTTGTGGAGATGATTGAATCTCATTTAAATCATGAATCAAAGAAAATGGAAGGTGGCCGCGCATTGTTGTGGGTTGGTTGAAGTTAGAAATTAACACAGTTAGATGTCAGCCCAAGGGTCTAGAGGTTAAGTGTTCATGAACAAGCCAAAGGTCGGGGGTTCTAGCCCCGAGTGCGCTGTCGTAAACGCACACTGCTAAGGAGTCCCATACTAGGACCAAACGACTGTTCCCTAGATAAACGAACTTTTCGCCTGTCAATCCTTAAATTATTTATTACAAGGTATCACAACTATACACATGGTTTGTAAACAAAATCGGTCAACTTTTAATTATATGCATTCATATATTACAGAAACTTATAATTTTAAAAAAACTGGGAAATAATTTGCAGGACTGAAGGGATGATATATGTATGTTTTGTGATAACCGGACGAGAACCGGTGCTTTCAACGTGGTATGGTTGCCGGCTTAGTGGTAGCCAATCAATTGGCATCTAAAACATTAATGTCGACTATTCCGACAAATCATCTACTTCTCTAAAATCTGTAGAATGCATCCTCTTTTCATTTAGTTAAGCAGTATGATCGACATTTATGCAAGAACTATAAACATGTCATCGTCACTTGAAGATGTGAATAGTATCCCCTACTGTAGTATTTCTATTTTAGCGTTTTAAAGGCATCAACACACTTTACGAATGAATAAATGACTTACCAGATGTTGTTACTTGCTGTAAGTGCCATATTTCTACAGTAGATGATGATGTATTAATCCGAAAAGTGACTATATTAGGTAAACATACAAGAGATTGATTAATTCTATCTTCACAGTCAGTGGAAATGAGGTCTTCAACATATAAACACGTCTCTAAAGCTTTACCACTGGTTTTATCCAAACATTCAGGAAATGTCTCCATTTCGTAAAAAATTGGTTTTGCTTCAAAACCCATATTATTGACGGTGGTTGCAAGACACTCAGGAGTGATACTGCTTTCTTCATCGTAGATAATAATCGCGCGTTCAAATTTAAGGGAGACCTGGATGAAAAGTTAGTAGAATTCGATATAAAATGTACTGACTTAAAATCAAGGATACATTCGGGAAATCCAAACAACAGCATCATTAAATATTCAATAACCACAGATACACTGAACAAAGAAGCCAAAAACTACCCAAACTATACAGGGGACTATTTCAGTCAACCAGTCACAACGTAAAATTTAGTACGTATGTACATCAGTTCAGGTTGTCATACACCATTAGGACACAGAGATGAAAATATCAGGTCAAATTCCATAGTGTTAGAGGTAGTAACAATACTAGTGGTGATAGAAAAGATTAAGGACCGATGATACAATTAAAGAAAATACAAACTGACGAACTAAAAACAAAAAAATAGTTGTGAGAAAATCAGAGGCTCAGAATTTGATGGAAGACAAAGAATGTATGCACCTGAGCAATTGCAAACGATTTTGAGCCGCAAACCTAAGTATTTATGAAATACAAACGCCCGTAAGTAAAACAACATATACACCGACCTTCTGGAATCGAACAGATGCATTTGCACCCTAGAGAGTTGGTCAGTATGTTAGCTTACTAAGCTCTTATTGTTCTGGATAACCTGAAAGTTTACTTAAGGCTTTGCGATCATAAAAAGGATCATAGTCAAATGAGATCCGCTTACAGTTCCTTTTGCCGTTTTCAAGAAATTACTACTCATGGAGATACTGACTATAAGCAAAAAATATCGCTGAAGTCAAAAGCATACGATTTCCCTTGTATCTGAAATCTACTAATAGTTTTATCGCTCTCCAACTGACGTGTCTGTTACGGTAAGAACTCAGGGGACAAATGTTCCAGCAGACAAAAGGTGACGGGATTACCATGATAGACATGCTTGGACACCGCGTCATAGCAGCTATGATCAAAATGTAACGAGTTTAAAAACAGTAACGTTTTCGAAAGTTTCAGCCGACCACTATTTTATCTGAGCTTCAGGAATAACTTGCTATTGCCATTGAACTGTTGCAACCTGTGTGAAGAATCGGCACAACGTGGTTCAGTATTTCTATATTTTAATTTTTTGGATTTCCCTATAAAATGTTCATTACCATTATTATGGTAAAAAAAGTAGGCCGATTGCACAAAAACTACACCATTGCCGACACGAACAACCTACTTTGTACAAAATGTGTAGCCGTTAACGGTATTATGTTTTCTCCCTTTAATGTTTACTTGTTGAATTCCTTCAAATGTAACATTACACATCGCAGCTTGGATAAAACCCACAACTTCGACGGGTTCAACGCATTTTTGCGCGAAAAGCCTGACCATAAATATAGAGTCCAGCATTTAAGAAATAAAAAAGTGAGAACAGGATCAAATGAAAAATGGTTTACAATTATAAGTCTTGAACTATAACTTACATTGACAAAAATCACATTGAACTGCTTGTTGATGACTGATTCTATAAGCTGGACACATGAATTGCACGTCATGCCACGAATAGATATGGTAGAAAACCTGACTAACTTCATACCTCGACAACATTGAATCTAAAAGCCTACGACTGACCGTGTAGTCCGTGGCTTGAATTTCCGCTCAAACTTAAGGTCAATCAAGCGGAGCAAATTATTATGGACGAAATGGAAGAAGCTATAGGCTAGTTTCCTTCTGATTATTAGTGATCCGTATGAATATATCTTGTATGGCTCTTGATAAGTTGTCTGAACCACTTCAGCTGGTAGCGGATTCGAAGACTTTACTAGCCGTAAGGTTTAGAACCTGTTCATACGGTACAAGTAACTGTGTCAACACCTAACTTCCTAGTATTTCCCAAAATTCAGGTCTCAATGGCATTCAAGTAGGTATTCCAGGAGAGTCCAAGGTGATGCAATACAAAAGACTATCGGTCTTCAGCAGCCTGTATTCAAAAATTCAAGGGTTTATACATTACAGTTTTCCGTTGGAAGGCTTGAATCTTGGTTCGACGACTGATGTATTCAGTTGCCTTCTGATACACTTCTTTGAAGTTGAGAGGAAACACAATTTTTCCATACTCTTTACGAGTCCCATAAAAGTGCCGAAAGCTAAATGGTAAATAATTGTGGCTGCACGCGAGCCTCAAAGTTTCCAAAGCAATGTTTTCCCGAAAGACATTTTTTCCGTTAGAAGACATGAAAGTACAGGACATCAAGTTAACTAGATCTTTCGCAACTAATGACAATTTTAGGTGGAATGACCTTAATTGCAATTTAAGACGTCGCAAATGTAACAATTTGAATTTCGAAGATTTGAGGGCATACTACAACTGAGAAGCTGAGTCGTATATTCCTGACATGCTAGCTTATCACATTTGTCGTGAACATCTCTCCAAAACCTGACACCCGCGAAATGTAATAACTCAGAACAAAAGTATGTTAAAGATGTGTGTGGGTCCATTATTTACTAAAGACTGAAAATGCACCTATATTTAATAAATTATGTGAAAGAAAGGAGTAATGATTGGTCGAATGTAAATAGAAGCCAAAATATCAGTCGGAATACGAGGAAGATAATTCAACTCTCTTATAAAATTGATGAATGGAAGATGGCTCTGAGCCCCTTATAACTCAAATGATTAATATCCAGTGATTTGAAGAGCTGCTCATAAGTCATAAATTCCGACTAACTAACTGATCTTGTTGCTCGCTTTCGGATACGCCTCATAGTACTTTTACCATTTAGGAGTAAAAAGGAGACAATAGATTTACATATCCTAAAGGGAGCAGTAAATCCGCATCTCTCAATGTGCAACGTATTTAGTCGGTTTTTACGCATTATGTTACAGTGATTTTGTGCTTGTCATGCTTTTCTCTTTGCCTAAGTACATTTGTAACAGCTTGGGTTGATTAGTTAAGAGTTGAATTCAAACAACAATAAGGCTCAATTATTCATTTACTTTCTCATTTCGTTTAGGCACTATATTTCCTATATTCGTATGTTTTGAATGTTGAAAAGCTATGTGTGTTCAAATAGGTAACTACCCGCTCCCTTGTGAATGTGCCACGATCCTTAATAAAGACCTATTCACTGCTAGTTTAGCTTCTCAGAATGGGCAATCAGGAAGCATCAACTCCTCTCATACCTCTAACAACACTAGAGATTTTTTTTCATAGTCAAATACTCATGTTTCTTGGTATTTCTTCCATCCCCATCACAAACCCCTCGCCGAAGACTTCGTTTTCATGAACCAACAGTGCCGTCTGTTTGAGTTAAAGAGATTTCTTTCTGGTCTCATTAAACCTTTCACTAAAACGTACACTGAACTCTAAATGTTGAAAAGTTACATCAAATAGGTCAATATGCTTTTGTAGCTAGACTCCGGAATCTCGTGCCATTTTAGCACTCTATATCTCCGGAACACACATACAGGATCTGTAGTCTATTGTTAGAGCAATGCTAAGAACGAGGTAGATCGTAATACTACGGACCTACCTCACTCAACCAACTGGATATCCGAGCGATGAAATGCAACTCAAAGCACAACTGGATAGTGTCAGGTCACTATTTATGACAGCCAGTTTACCGAAATAGAAGTCATGAAGTTTGACGGAAGCCCTCTGAAATTTTGGACGTTCATAAATGGATTCAAGGCTAACATAGCCGACAGAGTAAATGATGGCACTCAGAAATTAATGTATCTGATACACTATTGTGAGGGCATAGCAAAGGATGCTATAGAGCACTGTGTTTTATTACCAGAAGAAGGTTATACTAAAGCAATTAATAACATCAAATAGGTCAATATGCTTTTGTAGCTAGACTCCGGAATCCCGTGCCATTTTAGCACTTCATATCTCCGGCATAGCGAAGGATGCTATAGAGCACTGTGTTTTATTACCAGAAGGTTATACTAAAGCAATTAATATTCTACACGAACAGTTCGGCAAAACACATCCCTACATATGTCACTCCATAAACGGTGGAAGAGATCAGGATAGCCATCAGGCAATTCGGGGAAATTCGGGAGAAAAAACATGTCCCAACAGACTCGAAAGAAGGATACTTCATCAAGATACCAAAGAAAGTAGAACTATAGAGGTATCACACTAATATCGGTACCAAGAAACGTTTTCAACGGAGTGTTGCTGAAGCATATCAAAGATTCAGTAGGCACCCAGATTCGAGATCATTAAGCTGACTTCCTCAAAGATCTATTGCTTACAGAACAAATGGCGACACTATAAACCATCGTTGTGCAATCAGCCGAATGGAACTTGTCACCACACATCAACTTTCTTGACTATCAGAAGGCGTTTAACAGTTAGGATGTGAGAAAATTATGGAAACGCCTTTGACACTATGATGTTAGTAGCTGAGAAAATCGACAACATCGTACGGGGATTATACGTCGAACTGAACTGCAGGGTGGTGAATGGAGGACAGACGACAGAAACATTCCAAGTGAGGACTGTAGTCATATAAGGCTGCTTACTCTCCCCCTTTCCATTTATTCGGGTGATCGACTGGATTATGAAGACCTCATCTGAGAGGAGTACAGAATAAAATTAACAGTTTGGATTTGAGCTTCTCAGATCACCTAGCTCTTCTATACTATTCACACCAACAAATGCAGATGAAAACAACTAGTGTAGTAACAGCCTCGACATCAGTAGGCCTCAACATACATAGGAGATAAGGCAAGATCTCCATATACAACAAAGAGAACATAAATCCAATCACGCTCGATGAAGAAGTTCTGAAAGAGGTGAAAACTTTCAAGTGTCTGGGCAGCAACATCAATGAAGAAGGAGGATCTTATGCAGACGCAAATTTGTGGGTTGGTAAAGCAAGAGCCGCATTCATACAGTTGAAGATCATAAGGGACTCAATACAACTGTCAAGCAATGTCGAAGTCACAATCTTCAATACGAACGTAAAGACAGTTCTAGAGTACGGAGCTGAAACATCGAGAACTACCACAGCCATCATCAAAATGCCACAATTATTTATTTGTAAATTGTCTACACAAGACACTCAATATCCGTTGTCCGGATACCATCAGCAACAACCTATTGTAGGTGAGAACAGGACGACTTCCAATTGGAGATGAAGTCAGGAAAAGACGATGGAGGTATATAGGACATTCGTGGTGGTAATTATCAGACTGTGTCACGAGGCAAACGCCAACTAGAGATCTTGAAGCGAAAGGGAAAAGAGGAAGACCAAGGAACACATTGTGTCGGGAATCGGAAGCGGACATAAAAAGGAGAAATGGCATTTTGGATCAACTGGGAAAGTTTGCACCGGACGGAGTTGATTGGAGAATCCTGGTGGGCGGCCTATGCTACTCCAGAGATATACAGACAGCGATAATAGCAACAGCGACATCTATTAGTAACCACAACCAGGGATCTTATGCGGGTGTGGAGGTGCGTGTCCGCAAGGCATGAACAGTATATCCACAATCGAAGGACATCCAAAACTCAAAAAAACCGTCAACCAACACCAAGTTCAGGATTTTCAATGCGAATGTCAAGACAGTCGTACTGAATGGGGTGGAAACTTGGAGAACTATGAAAGTCATCACCCAGAAGATAGGAATATTTGTTAACAGCTGTCTACACAAAATACTTCAGATTCGTTTGCCAGGCACTATCAGTAACAGCCTACTATGGGAGAGGACAAAACGGACTCCTGTGGAAGAAGAAATCAGGAAGTGGATATGACACATCAAAAAAGCATTCAGTGCAAGCCTTTATTTGGAATCCCCAAAGCCAAAAGAGAAGAGGAAGACCAATAAACACATTACGCCGAGAAATGGTGATAGACATGAAAAGAGTAAACAACAATTGGAGAGAACTAGAAAGGATACCCCACGACAAAGCGGGTTGGAGAAGGCTGGTCAGCGGCTTATGCTTCATAGGGAACAACGGGCGCAAGTGAGTAAGTAAGTAACCACAACCAGAAGGTCAACAGATATTAGTGGACTACAGAATCGTCTAATGAATCGGTTAATGCCTGAAAGATTAACCTACCTGGGTTCGAATACTATTCCACGTAAAAAAATGTGAATCCAGTGATGGAAAGCCTACGCAATAATCATGAGAAATGGTAAGAAATTTGGTCAATAGGGCGAAGACGACATAAGAAATAATACTAGATCTAAGCCTGAAATTGTGTATCTGCCATGAGGTCTACCTCACCTATGAAATCTTATGTGGAAGTAATGTGGACCTAATAAGATGTCTTATTATTATTCTTGATACCCTGTTCTTACTTATTTTTCTTCAACTCCCGGTTTTTCTTTCACTAAGATCCACTCATCGCTTTCCAATTAGTTTTTATGGTTTTTATGACTGTTATCTAAGCGTTCACATTTTTTACGTCATTGACTTATTTCCTCTTGTGAAACATTGATTAGGGTCTTTGTTATTCTTATTACAACTAGTACATGTGTCCTCACACTGTCAATTTGCACTTTTTACTTATTATGTTTATTCATATGATGAGACTTCCACATAAGATTTCATGGGTTAGGTAGACCAGATGGCAG